TCATCACTGAAGGAAGTCAGGACAGGAATGCAAACGAGGCAGGATACTGGGGCAAGAGCTAATGCAGAGGCCATTGAGGGATGCTACTTACTGGCTTGCTCCTCATGGCTTGCTCAGTCTGCCTCTTATCGAATTCAGAACCACCAGCCCAGGGAGAGCACCACCCACCATGGGCGGGGCCCTCCCCTATTGATCACTAAGTGAGAAAATGCCTTACAGCTGGACCTTATGGAGGCATTTCCTCAACTGAGGCTCCTTCCTCTGGAGACTCTACCTTGAGTTGACACACAAAACCAGTCAGTCCAGTGGAAGAGTAAGTTTGAGAGACACAACCCTTGAGAAGAGCTACTCCAGGATTTCCGGCTTGCATAGTGTTTCCTAGGAGAACATTTTTCTGCTTTCTGTGTGCTCAGGGGCCACTGTAGGGATGTCCAAAGGGAGTCCCAACACAGCTCCAGGTGCCGGAAGACCTCGGTGTTGTCATGCAATGGTGATTGTTCAGATATGCAAAAGACAAGAGTCATGAAGGTATGACAGCTTCCACTTCGATTTCAGAGGAAGGCATGGAAAGCCAACCAGTGTGCAGCAGGTCAGCTTCTGTGAGAACCTCTGTGAGGGCAATGCGTGAAGCCATGAGAGTGACGCTGAAGATATAAGGAGCTCTTTAAGACGTTAGAGGTGCCGGGAGCATGGGGCAGTTGCGTAGGAAAGCTATGGACACTGAGCAGAGCCAGTCTATGAGAGGGACCGTGTGGCTCAGAATGGCAAAGGTACAGGTGCAGAACTCCCCAACCCCATGGGACTCCCATCCTGCCATGTATCTGGATGCCAGGCACAAAACTATAGAATTTAATGTTTGGCCTGCTGAGTTTTGGTTCTGCTTTGGTCTCACCAGTCCTTTCTCTGCTCCCATTCCTCCCTTTTGGAATAGGAATATTTACTATGCCTCATTATATGTTGCAAATTTACCATCTGCTTTGAATTTTTTAAGGACTCATGGTTAAATTTGCTTTGAGCCTCTCAGGCTTTCAAGTTGGGCCTCAGAACGATGCTGGAAATGTGGATACCTTGGAGGCTCTGGGACATGAACTGGAAGTCTCTTTGCATTTGGAGTTGTTCCTGTGCCCTTGGGGCTAGGGCAGAATATGGAATGCCAGCCACAGACTCACACGTGCAGCTTGGCCTCCAGGGGAAGAACTGCTACGTGTGGAGGTGCCAGAAACTTTGGGAAATGGTGCTAAGTTGAAGGAAGTGGGTCCCTGGGAGATGTCTTTGAAGAGCGAATTGCTCTGGTCCCTTTGTCACTCTCTCTCTTTGTTGCCACCATGACACAAGACAGGCAGCTTTGTCCTACTATCTCTTCCATGGTGTTGCTGTCTTACCATGGAACTAAAGGTACCAGCAACAAAAGACTGGGATCCCTAACTTGAAATCCAAAATAAATCTTTTAAGTATTTGCCATAAAAAAACTGGGTAATACATAATCTTAAAACACTGTCTTAAAATTCTCAGAAAACTAAAAACAGAGCTGGTGTGGGAAGTCCTTCTGTATATGTGTTGCTTTTATTGGGTAATAAATAAAGAAGCTGCTTTGGCCTGTAATAGGGAAGAATAGAGCTAGGTGGAAAAGCTAAACTGAATGCTCGGAGAAAGTAGGTGGAGTCAGTGAGAAGTCATGTGGCTGCAGCAGGAGACAGACTCTGGATGCCAGATGGTACCTTACCCATAGGCCACAACCACGTGATGATACACAGATTAATAGAAATGAATTAATTTAAGATATGAGCTAGCTAGGAATGCACCAGAGTCATTAGCTAAGCAGTGTTGCAATTAATGTAGTTGCAGTGTGATTACCTAGAATCTGGGCGGCCGGAAAATGAACAAGCAGCCTCTGCCCGCCCAGAACTATCATATACACATCTAAAGGAGGTGAAATTGTTATGCCAAAGAGATACTGACATTCCCATATTTATTGAAGCGCTATTTACGGCAGTTAAGATTTTGAATCAAGCTAGATGTATGTCCATCTCAGTGCATATATAGAACAGCTTCAACAGAACAAGATCCTGCCATCTGTAGCAACACATGAAACCAGAGGCCATTATGTTGAGTGAAATAAGTCAGAAACAAAGATAATGCCATACGCTCACATTCATTTGTAGAAACTGTGAAGTTGATCTTATAGAGCAATCTAGTGAAACAGTGGTTATTAGAGATGGAAAGGGAATTTGAGAGGGGGTGGGGGAGCAAAGAAGCTGGAAGAAGAAAGATAAAACACAATTAAGCAGGAAAAATTAATTCAGTACTCTATAGCACACTAGGGAACTTACTGAGTATAACAGCGATTGATACATTTCAAAATAGCTAGATATTTCCAACACATAAAAATGACTAATATTTGAAGAAGTAGGCACACTTAACTACCATGATTTAATCACTTATTGTGTACAAATGTCAAATTATCATAGTTTGCTCCAGAAAGACATACAATATATTTCAATTAAAATTAATATTTATACAACATAAAAGACAAGGTTTTAAAATATAATAAATACCAGGGTGCCACACCATTTCTCAGAGGTAGAAATGTCCCACATTCTTGTCTGTACTCTCCTCAGTTTGGGCACCATAGAGCAGAGATTTACTGAGGCCTTGCCTGGAACCTGGGTAGGTAAACTACAGACATTCCAGCTAGCTGGTTCTTCTGGCCAAACAGTTTGAATACATACAGGAAGTTCACACTATTTTATGCATAGTGTAAAATTAAACTTTAGATAGCTTCCATGAACTATCCAGAAGGGTAGTAAAGTCACAAATCCTTCCAGAGGTGAAAGGTTGTTGGCGGAGTTTTTATCCTCCTTATTGTTTTCTGGTTAGTTGTCCTTGGCCTCCCACTATGTCGCCCCTTAGAAATAGCAAATAAATCAGCATCATGTGGTTACAAACAACTGTATTGGAGGTGGGCAGCAAGGTAGCTCGATGAATAGAAGGAGCCTACTGCCAAGCCAGGATACATGAGTTTATCCATGAAACTTGTGTGGTGGAGAGAGAAAACTGAGTCCCACAGGTTGTCCTCTGACTTCCCCATGTGTGCCATGTCATTGTAAGCACACTCAGGTAGAATAAATAAATATGTAACAGAAATTTAAGAATTGCCCTCAGATGAGTGTGTAGCTGAGTGTTAGAGCGCTTGTTGAGTTCGTTCAAGGCCATGAGTTCAGTCCCCAGTATGGAGAATAATTCATAAAATGATGAAAAGATTAATTTTACAGTTATATTTATAGGAGTTATAGCAGTGCTGCATGAGTGGTGCCCATTTTGTTTACTGGTGACTTCCCGTGCGATGGTGGTCATGTAGAATCGGCATTGCCTCAGTTTGTGTGACACACTGAGATTTCACAAAAATGAGATCAGCTATGGACATATTTCATGGAATGGATCCCTATCCTGGAGTGACACGTTGATGTGGGACTCCCCTGCATGCTGTGAATATGTTTTATTACCATTGGTTAATAAGAAGCTGAGTTGGCCAGTAGCTAGGCAGAATAGAGCCAGGCAGTGATCCAAGCAAAGATCCAGGGAAAAAGAAGGCAGAGTGAGAGAAATGTCAGCAGCTGCTGGAGAAGCAAGATGTGAAGTAACAAGTCAGAAGCCGCGTGGGAAAATATAGAATAACAGAAATGGGTTAATTGAAGTTGTAAGAGTCAGTTAATAATAAGCCTGAGCTAAGAGGCCAAAGAGTTTGTAATCAATATTAAGCCTCAGAGTGATTATTTAGAAACTGGCGGTGGGAGAGAAACCTTGAGTTACAACACATGACTATAGAATAAGCCAGTTATGGATCTGAATGTAAAGCTACATGGAGTATATTTTCAGCTCTCATTCCTGCTGGGTCTCTGTGAGCCTGTGTCTAACTTTATTTGCCTATAAGTCAAAGGGCTATATCCTTTGGAAAGGCAAAGTCTGGATCAATGACATTCCTTCCTTTTATAGGGCAACATGAAATCCTTCTTCTGGATTCAGGATGGCTTGATGTACTTAGCTTTGGTAAAGTTTATAACATATTGCATGTGTGTTTGTGTATGTGTGTGTATACATGTACATATGTGTGTACATATGTGTGTTGTGTGTATGTTTGTTGTTTTGTTTTTATACTTGGGAGATACAGGAGTGTCATGGTGCACTCTTGGAGGTCAGAGAACAACTTTTAGGAATGGGCTCTCTCCTTCTACCACATAGATTCTGGAGTCAAATGCAGGTCACCAGTAAGTCCTTTGCTGCGCTGTCTCTTTTGCCATGTTGTTCTTTTTAAGAACAAATTCTGCCAAGCAGACCCTTTAGCGAAAAACACCAGTCTTAGCTCATAAAACAAAGTGCTTTCCTACAGCAATCATCTGAGCCTAGAAACTTCTAAGAAGGATTGCTTTAATAGTCTTAAATGTGAATCTGTTGTTATATTTTTTTAAAATGAAGGCTTTTAGAGTGAGATGTTACAAAATACAATGAAACAAAACAAAACAAAAAACCAACTAAATTCAGGAACCGTGAAAGAAACTGATCTTTCCACTGAAATATAAAAGAGGCTCAAGGGCAAACTCAGGATTCCAGAAATCAGCACAGCGACTCCTTAGTTAATGCCACACTGACCGCTGATGTGTGGCATCTCCCGAGGGCTCCCAGTCACCCCCCCCCCCGAGGCTGTCACCAGTGTTGTTGGTCATGGCTGACATTTGTGGCTACTAATGAGCTACAGAAGTGAAAACAAACATCCAGGTAGAGACAGCCAACCTCAGAGTCCATTATATGTGTTCACAGTGCCCTAGGGAAACCAGGTCCTCACTACAGCTCCAGGAACACGGGTTAAGACAGCCACAGACATCATGGTGATGGCCTGGAAGGGTTTTCCAATTTAGAAACAGCCACTTCTGGCCTTTTTCTGGAGCAGGGGAGGATCCAAAGTGAGAAGCAGGGGGCAGTCAATTAGAAGACAGGACACTCACTTCCAACAGGCAACAGGTTTATTCCTACATTGGTGAGGGTGTGTGCAAGATTCCATATAGGTTCCTTTAACAACCACAATTACAAATCTGAAAATATATTAAGCACATACATCATTTAAATAGAAAGGCCAGTGAGGTTCTTTGTTCAAACAACGTTGGCTACAAAAGCAATAGTGTGGGTAGATGCTAGGGTATGAAAAAATAGATTTATCGCCATCTTAACTAGATTTGCAGAGAACATGTAAATGATTTTGAAACCATGAAAGTGCTCTATTATAGAACATAATAAGTTCAGCTGCTGGATATATTTACATTATATATTATGCTTCACACAGATGAAGAAGCAGCTAGCTCCACTCTCTTCTGTGGACTCTAGGATTAGCAGGCATGATCTAGCATCCAAAGCACACAGCCAGGAGCAACTTCCGCTCTGAACGGTGCATGCTGGGTATGTATGAGCTGTGAACTATTCTCTACACAGCGGAAGTTGAGGAGACAAACGTGCTCTTTGTTCTTGGAGAATTTATAAGCCCGAGAACTTTGAAGCCTCACAAACACTGGGCAGGATGAAGTGCTCTTTAAGTGGGGAACATCGGTGCCTTCTCTTGTCAGTATGGTAGTGACCAGAAAGACGCTGAGCTCTGGTCTAGACCTTCCCACTAGCCGGCTGATGGAGGCTGGAAATGACCAGCTAGATTTCCAAAGCCACAAGCAAAGGTGCTCCTTTCTCGATGCAACGCTTAGTTACACACATTGCTACCAAAATACATCGCAGATGGAACAGAAAAGCTTGCTGTCGGGGCAAGGATGGCATTCCTTAAAAGAAATTACCTGAGGCAGAAAACAGCCCAAACGAATCCTTCTTGTGACTGTTCTAAGAAGGGGCACCTTACATTTGTCTGACACAATTCACAGTTTTGAAAGACTTACTTTGGTGTCTTATATAAGATCAAGTGCATTGGCATATAGATTAAAAATAATCTTTGGTAAATCTTTTAATATATCTTTTACTTCCATGACATAAACCTCTACTTTGGGAGCATCCACCAATAATTTCCTTATTTAATCAATGTTATCTATATAGACAATCTATACAAAAATAAAACGCATACATTTATTCCAAGGAAGCCTCTATACAAGTCAAGTGTTCTTTCAGCCAGAAATGTTTTCACTGTTAAACACATTTGAACAGGTTGTTGTTGTTGTTGTTGTTGTTGTTGTTGTTGTTGTTGTTATCACAGCTGCATTGACTGTCACCCTGAATCTCCATTGCAATGGCCAAACACTCTCAAAGTTACCCTGCACTATAAGACACTAAGGTGCTGTGTCTGTGTGTCTGCAGTGACAGATCCTGGAAACTGAGTCACACACCTGGTTAGTTTAAAAACCAAATGAACCAATTCAATTGCCAAATCTGCTGAATAGCCTGACCGACTTGATCCCAGTAATAAGACGGGTCAAAGATCCCTTACCCGAAATGCTGGTGATCGGAATCTGCTTGATTTTAAAAATAAGTTTGGAATATTTTAATAACTGTGATTTGAATATTGAGGATGGATCCCATGCCTAACTAGGAAACTCATTTCTGCCCCTCATATGCCCTGGATATGTAGCTGATGGTAAACTCAACGGTGGTTTTAATGTACCTGTGTTCTGACTGAAGCATCACGCAAGGGCAGTTGTAGAACGTCCTACTGCGTCATGTCAGTGCTCACAAATGCCTTGGACTCTGGAGCATCTTGAGTGTTAGATCGGGGGCTTAGGGATGGCCAGTCTATCTGCTTTAATAGAAATAAACACATGATGATACTTTCAAAGAACCATCCCGGGAAGGCAGACATGCCATCCTGTCTTTCTGATGTCAGCGTCGCTCACCTCCTCTCCAATAGTTTCCCTTCCTTGCTTCATTTTACTTCCTCTCTGCAGTCGTGGTTTACAGTTTCCTTTTCTGTAAAACATTCTTTCAACACTGGATGCGTTTTTGAAGATCGGATTAAACATCTTTGGAATGGTAACGGGGCACTCACTCAAGCAGGCATGCTATTTCTCTGTCGACTCCTCGGGCACGAGAGCTGGTGAGCTGGGACTGCTCACGTCTTCTTACCGCTCTTGTCTGGCTGACTATAGCCATTTTTTTTTTTTTCAGTTAAACAGAACTTGGAAAACCTCTGAACTGTTTCTATAACCAAGCAGCTAATTACTTGTTATTGTTGCGTGGTCAGCTTTGGTCTGGGCAGCTTTGTATGAACAAAAATTCTAGTGTGTTCCATGACTGGGACTTGCAGGCAAATATACAGATCTAGTTGCTTCAAGGATTCAATCTTTCAAAATGCCCATAAACTAACTGAGCAAGCATTTAGTACATGGCAGATCATTTTGGGATTTATTATTATTATTATTATTATTATTTGCAAAGGGAGCAGAAAGTGTTAAATACGAGAAGTTAGATCCTTAACACCAAGATAAGAGAAGCAGTGTGAAGTAGAACATGTGAGCCCTATTTTTGTGTTGCTGGACATCTGTTAAATCATTTTATATTATTTTCTCCTATCAATTTTGGGCCTTCTTCCAAGAGGTAATAACAAAATTAATTACAGAGCCTCCTAAATATAACTGACCCCAAATCGCTGTATTGTTGCCATTTTGATGTTGAAAAAAATGAAGTCTTAATCACTCTTCTATAATGCTGAGCTTATGAAATGTTAGCAATGGGTGAAAGACGATGAGATGAACAGACGAAAAAAATCACATCCCACTGGCACAGGTGCTCTTGGATAGGAAGAAGGGGCAAGCAGCGGAGAAGTGGAACTTGGCCACTGACGGGTGGGAACTTCCTCGGCATGAACGTCTGCAAGCCCAGAGAGGGAGATGCAGCTCTGAAAACCTGAAGAGTTGGCAGCTTTCCAGAGAAAAGCAGATTGATGATGTAAAATTGATTTAATGTGAAGAGATTAAAGGAGTTAATTATAAGGAGCCTGGGTAAATAATTATTAGGATGCAGAACAGACTCTCTCAAGGTTTGATAGCCTTGAAGGGCTTTGAAGCCTCACTGATTAAAGAGCCGCAGTCAGGTGCAGACAGGATGCCCGCCAAGGCAGGAAGTGGGGTGCTTTCAGAGACACAGCCGCACGATGCAATTAAGGGAGATGCATCCGATGGAGCGAACGGCAAAAAGAAACCTTTTCTTCCCTCTCCTGGCTTATTTTGTGGTACCTGAGATTAAACCCAGGGCCTCTCACACGCCAGGCAAAATACTAATTTACCAGTAGCTACGTTTCCGTTCTGGCCCAGACTGCTACAGTCGATGAACGGATCAACTGGATTTGTATTTCATCTTCTGGAGAGAGAGACTGCATAGCAAAATGTTTGTTGCTAGGTGTGTGTGTGTTGGGGGGGGGGTGGGGTTAAACTAGTCTTGAGAATGAGGAATCAGGACTTCCCGGAATAGGCGACAAGAATGTATGATTTCCCCTGGTTGGGTGGCTGGATTCATTTCTGTATTCTGATTCTCCCCCAAATGCTTTGAGGGTAGGGGTGTCATTTATGGTCACAGGTGTGCAGGTGTTTTGTGGTTCTAATGCTTGGTTCGTGCAATTTTAATTACTTTCTCTTCCGCGTCTAGTGGCTTGCAATTGAAACGGCTTCAGCCCTTGCCATCTCGTTTCCTCGCCGGGGCCCTCTTGTAAGTTCCAGTCAACACAGTTACAACGCTCATCTCACTGTCGTGCGTTCTCTTTGCTGACAAGGAAACAGGTTTTGGAACAGCACCGAAGAGGTTCCAGGCACTTGCTGGGACTTTTCTCAGTTAACAAAAAGCTGAAACGAATGTCTCTTTCTGGGTTACCAGCTTGCTATGCATTAAGCAACATCAGTTTACAGCCCTGTTTTGTTTTCCTTGCTTGAGCGGGGAGGGTGGGAGCTCTGGATGGTCACACAAGCATGCTACCTCCCAGCAGCCCCTTCAGCCCGACTTTCCTTTCTCTCCTAAGAAAAATGATCCCTAACAGACGCCACACCAAAACCATGTCTGACCTCCATTTTCTCCTTAGTTGCACATCTCCAAGCTTACACCTCTGCTCCTCTTTTTTCTGTCCAGAAGGTCTGATGAGTCCCTGGATACAGGATCAGAGCCTAACGGTGTCATTTTCCCAAGGGCACAGCGCACAGAGACACTGTGAGGACTGAATCCTCACTGCTGCTCACAGGGACCCGTAGGAACTGTTCCTCTATTTCTATACACTTCAGGTACCCCAAAAGACATCTCCAGATGGGTGTGGAGTTATGGAATTGGGAATATCCTAGTATATTTACAAGCTAAATTTGCAGTGATTTTTGGTATAGTTAGCTATCTTCAATTGTTAGGCCAATGATATCCATTTTTGTTATGGGAGTTGATGATTTGTAGCAAAACCACATAAGCTCAAGAGACATGTGATGTTTCTGCAAATGAAGCCCTGAGATCAACAAATGTGGCTTCTCACTCAGGCAACCACTAGAATTCTTTTTGGGTTTTTCTCAGAAAAGATCTAGAAACTGGGTGTTAATTTGCTCGATGTCCACTTTCTAAGTCACTGGAAATTTTACAGTCAACATATGGCACAGATTTAAAGATAAAATTGGTAGGGTGTGTGGTAAAATCTCACTGCTTCAGATGTTGGTATTTCATGCTTTCTTGGGTCAGGGGCGTGACCTACCACCATAGCTCTTTCCAAAGGAAAACCAAGTCTGAATGCTGCAGGGATGCGCCCTGCTTTGTGCAGGAGGCTCCGGTCAGAGGGGCAGCTGGCATTGCTATCGTTAGGTATTCGTCTCATCTGTTAGTGTCCTTCTACCGGAGTCCCCAGCCCTGCAGTCACTGCAAGTTTCACGGTCCTTGAGCCGACCACAGCTTGTAACCCTGGACAGATTCCTATCGACAGCTTCCGGTTTAGATCACACACCCAGCTCCGCTTTGGGGCTGCCTAGCCTTCAGTTTTTAAATTTATTTTGAATTGCTTGGCATATGCTCTACCACCAAGGTGTAGCTGTGGCCCGACTCTGACGGTCAGAGTCTTTAGACCCCAGGCTTTGTTAATAAGGCGGCAGCTTGGCAAAGCAGGCCTTATGCTATGCTCTTTCCAGCTCGGCCCTTTGCTCACCCAGTGGGCATCAAGGCAGGCAAACAACCCAGCCCCAGGGATTGTCCTTGCAGCTTTCTCTGCACACATTTGGCCAGTGGTCCTGTCATATAGGGGTGAATCAGCTCATGCAGAACAAGTCATGAACACTTCAGTGTGGAAAAATAGTATTATATAAAGCTTAATATTAAACATTATGAAAAATACATATTTACAGGAGAAACTACAAAATACAAGTATGTACAATAATATCTGTTACCTTTAAATTACATAAATTCTTTAACATTCTCCCGATTAATAAATTATACGTATCCACAGAAAAAGCTGGCACCTCCACAGGCCATGAAGCAAAGGTCTGGGGTTGAAAAGTCACACAGTGAAAAACTTTTATCCAGGGCATCTTCGGTACATCCTTAATGTCTCGAATAGATTGCATCTGGAAGCGAAAATAGTGTGGTCAGAGATTGTAAAGCAGTGGTTCTCAACCTTTGGGTCACGGCTGTTTGACAAACCCATCTCCAAAAGTATTACCCTTCATAACAGTTGCAAAATTACAGCTATGCAGCAGCAACAAAAATAATCTTATGGTTGGGGGTCACCACAACACCTGAAAGGGTCCCAGCATGAGGAGGTTGGGAACCACTGCTGTAGAGGGACATAACAGGACTGTCGCTGCTACCCTGTGAATGACATTTATACCCAGAAGACCCTGGTGGATGTCGCTAAAGTTCCAAGTGCTTCAGGATACAGCCTCGCCTTGGGGCCAGCCCACCCCATTTAGAAACGCAGATTCCTGGACTTGGAAATGACGCCTGAGGCCCAGAGGCAGAGTAACTTGCCCGAGGTTCTATAGCTTCTCAACACTAGACAGTTCCAGAGCTGCTTTCAGAATCCCAGCCTTTAGGATGGTGGTTATGTGTTTCGCAGCACCCAGAGCTAGCTTCTTTTAGGCACATCTAAGATTAGTTTTAAAAGGATTCTCAGACACGTTAACACAAGACAAAGGAACCCCTAAGATCTTACCCCACTATCCCCGAGTTTCTTAAAGAAACTGACATGCAAAAGCCTTAATTTACTTCACAGGATAAATTAGGGGGTTATTATTTACAACACAAAAGATTATCTGATTTACAAAGCACTCCCCTAAATAACTCTCTGTTTGGTGCTTTACAGCTCACTAAATAACATGACGGCTGCTGGGGGTGAGGGGTAGGGAGGTGGGCAGGAATGGGGAATGCTGAGAACCAAGTAAACCTTAGAAGATCTCAACCGAATTGACATTGTCAGCTCAAACAGAGAAGGCAGGGCAGAAGGCATGTATGCCAAGAGAAAGGTGTGAGTAGATCTCAGACCCTTGGCAAAAAATCTAGGTCTATAAGAATCTAGGTCTATAAGAATCTAGGTCTATGAGACCCCTTCCCATCTAGAACCACGCTGTATGGTGCCTTTGGCCTTAACAGTGGGCCAGAGGGCAGGAAGTCTCTTCTTGCCTGTTAATTATCCCTTGATGAAAGTGTGCATAATGAAGTTTCTAATTTTTTTTACTCTTGAATTTTTTATTTGAAAAATATTTCATTCTTGTCCTAGATGATTTATAAAACAACAGAACAACATCAACTGATTGTCTATTGTTCAGAGTTACTAATTTGACTGTCGGATTTCTGCCCGTTTATTTTTTGTCCCTATAGACGCTGCTCCTGGTTGTTTTATATTCTGCATCTCATAACTTGTGCCATGGTTCAGCTATGGTTTGTCACTCCATTTGGTTTCTAGCATGATGATCCTGGAAAGTGAGGGGACCTGTAGGAAGTGGGCCAAGCAAGAGGAGACTGGGTCATGGAGATCACAGAGATATTATTGTTGGTGGCTTAGGTTTCACAGTTGTTATGAAAAATCAAGCATATTTCTTCCTAGTTCCCTAGCTGCTGGACCCTATCAAGACCAAATGCATGACATCAGCTTTCTCATGGGCTCCATTTTTTTTTCTCTTATTTTTTTATCTTTGTGATTATGTCTACTAAGCATGAGCTCTACCCCTGAGCTACATCCTATCCCAAGCCTCTAATCTTTATAAAGTATCTAGTCTCAAGTATTTCGTTACAGCAACCACGACAAGCTTCTTATAAGGGTATTCACCTTGTGATACTACCAAAGCCAGGTGTGATGGCATGTGCCCTTAATCCTGCTAATGGCAAGGCTGAGGTAGAAGGAATGCTTGGGCATAGGACTCCAAGGCCAATCTAGGCAGTGTAGCCTTCACCTCACACAACAAAACAAAAGAACCTGTTCTTAATGACGGTGCTGTGCGATGATAAGTCAATGTGCTTTGGTGTAGCTAGTCCCTGCTATGACTTGAATACAACGTCTGTTTCATGGGTCCATTATAGTTCAAAGGCTTGGTCTGCAGGGTGACGGTGCTAGAAACCTTTGGAAGACGGTGAGTCTCTGGAAGGAAGCTCTTAGGGGATGACTTGGTCTTGCCTCTCCCAGCTGTCTCTTGGCTTGAGATTTGACCATTTACCCCAGCTGGCACTCCTGACATTGCTGCCCACCTTTCACCATGAGGTCCTCACCAGAGCTGAGCTGGCACACAACTCATGCCCTTGAATCTCCAAACGTGTGAGCTGAAATGAACTTTCTGCTGGGTAAAGTCGGTCACCTCCCGTGTTTTGCTATGGTAACGCCAAGCCGACTAGGGTAATCTTATGTTGCATCACTGGTTTTCCCTCCGACCTGAAACTGGAAAGGCTTTGTGCACAAAGTATAGTCTGTCTACTTAAGAAGATAGGAAAAACACTCAGTCACAGATGGGAACGCGTGAGACACTGAAAACCCAGATGCTGAATTCTTCACCGCAACAACTTTGTTATCGATTCCAGTTATGGTTTCAGTACATTCTTCCTCCATGGTCAGTCTTATCCCTTACAAAAGAAATGTTCAAGGGACTCTTTTGTAGAGAGCACTCTGTAGGCAGGCAGAGGCTGAGAGTCTGGGGTGTAGATCATTGTCAGAGCATTCACCTGCCGTGGAGCCCCGGGTATCATGGCAGCGATGAAAACATTGTTAGTGTACTAAGTTTCTGATCTAGTGTGGTAGCCCTCTCTGTTCTGCCTCTCCTCTCTGTTGCTACTTTGGGGGCGTCTTTTGGGTAGAAGAAGAAATGGGAGGTTCAAGCTGGAGGCGCACTGAGCTAGTATGAGTTTCCAAACTGAGTGCATTTTGAAAAATGAACTTCAGGACAGGTGATCTAAAAGCCAGCGAGGTTAACTCTTACCTCTATGGTATTCTGGGTTCACATTTTCGTAGATTGGAAACAGGGGGTTTTCTTGCTCGTTCCGCAGTTTCCTTGCTCTGAGGACGTCTCTCACACACTGATGCAGATAGATGTACTGACACTGTGGAAAGTCAGGGAACACATAAGAGGAAGTAGTCAGGGTTGACCTTGAACTCTCAATCTTCCCATCTTGTCTCTCTAGAGCTGGGAACGCAGGCCTGGCTCCTCACACCCAGTTTGACCCCAGGCTGAAGAATGAACTCAGGGCTTTTTGCATGCGGGGCAAGCACTCTCCAACTGAGCTACATCCTCTGCCCTCCTCTGCTTTTGGTCTTTTGTGGTGCTAGGAACTGAACTCAGGGCCATACACATATGAAGTAAGAGCTCCGAGCTGTAGTACCAGCTCACCAAGGACGTCACAGAAACCAACCATCAGCAACACTTGCTCTAGAAGTAGGACCTATCCTTTGCTTTCCTTCTCACAGGTCCTACTTGGTCTTAAGATGCCTTGACCTTTGGAAAACTGGCTGATTATCTTTATGTGTGTGCATGCTGCTTGAGTTTATGTGCACCATGTACGTGCAGGAGCCCTCAGGGGCCAGAAGACAGGGTTGGTTCCCTGGAACTGTAGTTACAGGGTGTTAACATCCATGTAGGTGCTGGGAACCAAACCCGGATCTTCTGAAGGAGTATTAGGCACTCCTGACTGCTGGGCCATCTCTCGAGCTCCACAGAACTCCGATTTTTAATTAAATTGCTTGTGTGTGAAAGAGGTAAGCTGGGAAGGAACTCTGTTATACCCGGGCCATAACTTAGCAATAAATTTTTCAACAGTGATCCACCATGGGCTTTGAAACTAATTATTCTGTATTAATTTGCCTTGTCTTAAATATCAACTTCTCTTTTCCCAATAGGATGGCCCTTCAAAAACTGATTACTTCAAAAATCATCAAGTTGTTACTGTAGCCCCACTTAATTCTTAATGAAAAATAGAAAAAAAATTATAAGCCTTAAGTCACACAAGATTTTTTTTTCTAATTGGGGAAGCACTGGCTGAGCATTGACATATTCCATTTCATTTAATTCCATCAATCTTTGTAGCTTTATGTAAGATTTATGGTATTATATGTGTAGCCATTTGGTTCATGATTCTTGAGAGCAATGTTTAGCTGAAGGGCAGACGTGACATGTATCCAACACCTAGAAGATGATGAACTAGAGTTGTTTATAAAGGTTCACACAGCAGGAAGCTCTTGATAGCATTTGGAGGAAGAAAATATCAAACTAAAAAGAAAAAGTGACCTTGAAAGACAAAGACACCGTGAAGTGAGTGGAGTGTCCAGTGTGGCTAAAATATAGGTTGTACAGGGGACCCTCACGATAGTCTCTTAAATGGGACCTGAGACACGTGATCTCATAATACCCCAGCGTTTCTTCTCATGTGAGCAGTCAGAATGTCCGACTAGTCTCTCTCTACAAGGTTTTGCTGTATCAAAGGGTCAGCCTGAGTTAGGCTGCAAATCTGCCCCAAGGCAGAAAGATAAACAGAGGAAGATGTTTGCAAGTCCCCCTATTGCCTCTTCATTTAGATAGCCTCCTGGTTTGATTTGATATATTCACCAAAAATTATAACGATCACCTTGTGGTTTGATATAGTCACCAAAAATTAAGATGCCCCATGTCCCTTTGTATCCCAAGATCTCAAGGTACAAGAAAGCTAGGATCACCTGTCACTATGGTCTCAGACAGATTAAACAAGGGCTCAGAAATTCCTTTCTTTTTTTCTGCAGCCATCACCCACAGCATTGGATGGTGAATTAGTCCTTTCTGCACCCATGCCCACTCACATAGCCAAGCAAGTCAGGCAAGCTTTGGCTTTTATGAGTCAGAACCAAGGCAAAGAAAACAGTCCTCTGGCCTGGGTCAATGCGTGGACTCTGTGGCACCAGCTCGGTACAGCTGTATAAACAGGAGGACTTGAACTTGGAATTCCAGCACTCGAATAGAGAGCCAAGTGTGCCGGTGCAGGCCTCTAGCCCTAGCACTGGGGAGGTAGGGAGGGTTGTATCCGTGGGGTTTACTGGCCAGCCATCTAGATGAATGAGGGAGGGATCAGTGAGAGACATTGTTTCAAAAAAATAAGGGGGACAGCAATGGAGAAAGACATCCACTGCTCACTTCTGGCTTCCATATGCACACAACACTCCCCCAACGCACGTGCATATGCGCAGAGAAAGGAACATGTACACACACACACTATGTACACAGATACCTCCCCCAAAACAATGAGTTTAGCGTTAAGCACGTTGAGTTGGAGCTAAGTGTAACACATATGTGGAAATGCACAGCAAGCGAGTTCTTAGATAAAAGTTAAGGAAACAGGGAAGGAGAATAAGGGTCTTAAAACAGCAGTGTGTTCCTGGGAGTGGAGGAATAATGTAGCCAATAACGAAGATTGAAAGAAATAAAAAGCTTTACTTCGTCTGGAGCTCAGACGCTGGAAATACAAGCAGAGAAAGAAGGTCACCGAGCGTTCAGAGCAGTGGGAAGAGAAGACAAAAGGGGAAAGGAGAGGAATGTTCATGGAGAGGGAGGAGCTTTGGGCCGTGGACGCTGCCTCTGCTCTGGACACCAGACAGCGATGGTTCTAACAGAGATCCTGCTTGGGGCCAATGTGCAGCCCAAGATGTTGGACCAGTTCTTGGAAGCAATGCATAATCCAAGTTGTCTCTGAAACTAATGAGGAGCCTAAACACACACATGTGCGTGCATATTTAAGATTACAGTGTGTTAGCTACTTCTCCCCTCTTAGAGAGTAATTATAGTCTGAGTTTGTAGAAATGCCTACTGAGATGAAACACCGCTGTGACTTTTGAGCAACATAATAGCAGGGTATTTGCTCATTTGTATAAATAGATTTTAAAAACTGACACAGAGACGGAGAAGTTTCTACTGCTAAGACCTTGTGCTCCCCGGGGTGGGGAAGGATGACGGTTAAGATATGTTATGTAATTCTATCCCCTAAATGAAATGCTAGCTAGATCGCAATCACTGTGAAGTGTATAATTACTGGGGGCCCGAGGATGAGTGGTTGGGGTCCTACCAGTGAGGCCACCGTTACTTTTGTCTCAATTCACCAAGCGGTGTGGATGTGAGGTGTCCAGCAACAGCCTGGGGGAGCCCTGTGGCTGTAGGACCACAGCTGAGCAAGCCTCTGGGTGTAATGGCCACCTGACTCAAACCACAAGGACCAGAGAAACATATTTCCACCATGAATACCTACAGAAGAGGTGAGCTGGGCTCTCTGACCAGTAAATGGCATTGAAAACAAGTGGGAAGGATTATTATGGACATAACATAGGTATAAAGATCCGCCAAAGAAATGAAAGAAGTCGATTTGGGGCTTTAAGGAAAGCCAGATTTTTTCTTTTTCTTTTTCTCTTTACAAAAGTAATGATATTATTATTATTATTATTATTATTATTATTATTATTATTATTATTATTATTTTACTTAAAAAAAATCCAAGTTCCCACTCCCTTCCCTCCTCGGAAAAAGATATCTTAATTGAGGGAGCCATTATGGGTTTAGCAAGAAACCTGGCTCTAGAAAAATTCCCAGGAATCCACAAGGATGACCCCAGCTAAGACCCTAAGCAATAGAGGAGAGGGTGCCTGAACTGGCCTTGCCCTGTAGTCAGACTGATGATTATCTTAAATATCACCAAAGTAATGATTTTTAAAAGATAGGTAGGAGCCAGGTGTAGTGGTGAACACCTCTAATCCCAGCACTTGGGAGGTAGAGACAGGAGGAACTCTGAGTTTGAGGCCAGCCTACTCTACCTAAAAAAGTTTCAGGACAGCCAGGGCTACACAGAGGAACCTAGTCTTGGAAAAAAAAAAAAAAAAGAATAAAATAAATGAATTAGCTAAAAATGGGTGGGGATATTTAAATACTTACTAGGGATTACAATGAAAATTGTTAAGTGTGATAAATGGCCTGGCGATAATGATGTTGAAGAGTATCTACCTATTTGCATATATCTACATATGTAAATATATGTCTATATATGTGTGTGGAGAGAGAGAGACAGGCAGAGACAAGAGAGACAGACATGCAGAAAGGCACACACACAGACACACACACACATATATAATGATTTGTTTGTGGACGAGATAGTATAACAGATTTGCTTTATAAAGTGACAATTGGTGTGAGATACAGATGCACAAATAATGTGATGCTGCTGTTTGTGGGAGCTGGGGTTTGGGTTAATGCAGATTCTTTATCGGACTTCCCCTAGTTACAGCCCTGCCCTCACCCCATGGTACTGCTGAGCAAACCGAGGGCCCCGTGAACAGTGGGAAAGCACTCTACCACTAAGCCACACCTAGCCCAAGTTTTGCCTGCCCCTAACCAGTGTCCTACTCAAACACTGAGAGGATGGTAGATAATTCCGAGAATGAAAGTGTCAGCCAGTCATGGTGGTATGTGCTTCTAAACTGATTGCTCTGGGGATTAAGAATGACAAGCTGGGGGCTGGAGAGATGGCTCAGAGGTTAAGAGCATTGCCTGCTCTTCCAAAGGTCCTGAGTTCAATTCCCAGCAACCACATGGTGGCTCACAACCATCTGTAATGGGGTCTGGTGCCCTCTTCTGGCCTGCAGGCATACACACAGACAGAATATTGTATACATAATAAATAAATAAATAAATAAATAAATAAATATTTAAAAAAAAAGAATGACAAGCTGTAGGCTAACCTGGGCTACATAGTGAGGTCCCATGTCAACAAAAAAACCTCGTCCTGGGAAATGGCTCCATGGTTAAGAACACTTCCTGCTCTTGAGGAGGATCAGTGTTTGGTTTCCAGTACCCACGATGGTTGGCACACAACCCCCTGCAACCAACCTCAGTTCCAGGGGAATCTACTGTCATTTTCTGGCCTTTTCAGGCGCCCTTATGCACACACACACACACACACACACACACACACATACACAAATGAGAGAGAGAGAGAGAGAGNAGAGAGAGAGAGAGAGAGAGAGAGAGAGAGAGAGAGAGAGAGAGAGCAGAGAAAGAAAGAAAGAAAGAAAGGAAGTTTTTTTAAAAAAATATATACACACTTTGGGGAGAGCTGTAATACAATGGCAGTAGCAGATCTGGCAAGTAGGTTCTGCCTGCAGGAGAGGCAAGGACACCAGGCTTTTGCCAAAGCTGACACAGAAGGTGAGTTCCACAGGATATTAATATACACTGCACTAGAAATAATTTTTTTTTTTGGGGGGGGAGTTGATTTTAGAATTGTGGGCTCAACAGAGCTCAAAGGAAATTTTCCTGCAAGATGCTGGTTGTGGAACACAGCTGCATGTGTGGTTTCCATGGCTACTGTGATGGTACATAGAATTTTTCATCTACAGAAAGCCTTTAAGACCTTGCCACTCACCCCGTGGGTTAGTTAAACAAAAATTTAGGAAATCTAATGAGAAGAGAACCTGAGCTTTGGAAGGTGTTATTGAGGGAGTGAGACATGCTTAGTATACGTGAGGTGTGTGTATAGACTTGACTGTGGGGCCGTGGGGCAATGGCTTGGTAGTCAAGGCTAGGATTTTCCAGAACACAGTCCAAGATTGACCATTTCATGGCTATGGATTTTGTGCAAACATTTTTAGCCTATGGGCCTCAGCTTCCTATGGACCTTAGCTTCCTAGCTTGGGAATAAAAATGAATAGCATGGGACAGTATCTTCAGAATATCTGCAAATTCAAAGCACGGCCCAGAGGGAAACCTATAACCTTCCCAATAGATAAACAACCCTTGATGTATCCAGATGTAACCTTCCCAATAGATAAACAACCCTTGATGTATCCAGATGTAACCTTCCCAATAGATATACAACCCTTGATGTATCCAGATGTAATTTTCCCAATAGATAAACAACCCTTGATGTATCCGGATGTAACCTTCCCAATAGATATACAACCCTTGATGTATCCAGATGTAACCTTCCCAATAGATAAACAACCCTTGATGTATCCAGATGTAACCTTCCCAAGAGATATACAACCCTTGATGTATCCAGAGATGGAGGATGTACATGGAGGGGACAAATCTAGGGGAGAGAAGAGATTAGAAACTCCCCTAAGAAAGTACCTGTGCCTTAAAATGAGTTCCTAAGTGGGCTGGTCTAGCCAGTCCCCCACGTATAAGCTTTTCTAAAGTACTCCATCTTTCTTCCTGCTACCTAAATGAATTCTTCTCTGAGATGCTCAGTAAAGGACATACCTTGTGCTGAAGGTCACTGAGATTTGCTTCAAAATATGAGGTCCTAGACAGTACGTATATCCACTTTTCTCTCTCGCTAAGGTGTTCTAGACAGTTTTGGGGATAGGGGTGATGGGTAAGGTGCGGGGAAGGGCACTAGTGTCCATCAGCTTAGAGTACTTACCTCGGTCTGGACCATGTGAACTCTGTGAAGTCTTAGGTCATGCACTGCTCCATAAATGTCCACAGAGTCCTTGGAATCCAACTGCTGGAGGATCCGGTCCAAGGCAACGAACGTCCCGGTTCTGCCCACACCAGCACTGGAGAGAAGCAAAAGGAAGATGGGCCTCTGATTTAATTCCCCTTCCATGACTAGATCACTAGACTTTGGCCATCTTCCTTCTCTCTCTCAAATTATAAGACAATACACAAACCTTTCTTTCCATAGACATGTTCTCTCTCAAAGATAATCTAGAGCTCCCATGGTCTACCTAGAGCCCCCATGTCTATATAGAGCCCCCACGACTACCTAGAGCCCCTATGTTTGCCTAGTGTTCCCATGTCTACCTAGAACCCTCATGGTCTAACTAAAGCCCTCATGTCTACCTAGAACCCCATGCCTACCTAGAGCAACCATGGTCTACCTAGAACCCTCATGTTTATCTAGAGCCTTTTATGGTCTACCTAGAACCCTTATGTCTACATAGAACACTCATGTCCACCTAGAGCCCCCATGTCTACCCAGAGCCCCCCATGTCTACCTAGAGCCCCCACAGTCTACCTAGAACTCTTAATTCTACCTAGAACCCTCATGTCACCTAGAGCCCCCATGTCTACCTAGAGCCCCCGTGACTACCTAGAGTCCCCATGACCTACCTCTTCCCACTTCCTCCTAACCCCCACCTAACCTCATGTTGATATATATCAAGCCCATGCCTATTTTTAGAATTTTCCTCCATACCTGCAAATCCAAATGGAACATTTTATATATTTTGAACATTTACTAAAATGTTTAAGATACTACATATTCTTTTGCCAAGTTCTCTACTCAATACTGTGAGTATTGTTTTGAGATTTATCCATTGATGATACAGAACTAATTTCATCTCTCTCTCTCTCTCTCTCTCTCTCTCTCTCTCTCTCTCTCTCTCTCACTTGCTGTTCTTTTTTTACTCATTGTTCACTTGCTTTTGTTTTTATTTTTTGAGAAAGAGCCTTGCTATATAATCATGGTCTTCCTGCCTTAGCCTTCCAAGTGTTGGGCTCACAGGCACATGCAACCATGCTTGGCTTAATTCCAACTTCTTTTTAACTATTTGTGACAAACCACTGCCAGTCCACTCTGTGCTGTAGAGTAAGAGATCATTTTTAGTTGCCTGCTAAAAACCGTGTCGCAGTGAACATCTACATGACAATTGCTTAGCAGTTGGTAGCTAAAATGGCCACTGGTGACTTGGTTATGATAACTTGCTGGATGTTGCTAAATTGCTTCTTAACATGGGACTCTTGATGCTGTGCAATTTGATAATACCAAAACGAATTTGGTCTTATTCAACCCAGACAGAATTAGAGCCAGGTATATAGAAAAGGGAGAGTTCTCATGCCTGACTCCCACTCACTCACACACACACACACACACACACACACACACACACGTATACACACACACCTTCATAAGGGCTTTCTAGGGCCCACAAGAAATCTCTTTTCATTCTCCATTCACACCATGCTTTACATACATTATACACATGCCAAGGTTTCTGTACCAAAGTTACCTTTATCTTTAAAGCTATAGCAATCCATGTAAGCTTCCACATAATACTTGCCAAGCAAAGGCCAGTGATGGCACCTCCACCAGTAAGTGAACGCCAACTCCTCCCTCTGGTTATTAAGACCAGTGAAACTTGTGACCGAGTAACATATGTAAATTTCCTCACTTTCATCTTAAAAACTCAACTGTGTGTATATCCATCACTGACCATGGCACCCATTCCCACTACACTGTTCTGCTATTCCTAAATAACTACCAATATTCTTTTCCCTTCCTTCCTTCCTTCCTTCCTTCCTTCCTTCCTTCCTTCCTTCCTTCCTTCCTTCCTTCCTTTCTCTCTTTCTTTTAGTTCTTTGAGACAGGGTTTCTCTGTGTGGCCTTGGCTATCCTGAAATTTGCTCTTTGATCAGGCTGTCCTCGAACTCACAGAGATCCACCTGCCTCTGCCTTCTAAGTGCTGGGACTAAAAACGTGTGCCACTACTGCCTGGCTCAGTGTTTTTTGTAGACACCCCCTCTGGTTATTTTGGCTGGCAACGAACACATTTATAAGATAGAGAACATTTCTCCAATATTTCTGGAAAGAAATGCTTGCCATTGTTCAGAAAGCAGGAGACCCCCAAGTGTTTCCAATACTCATTAAAGCACTGAGGTTCAAAGACATATAAAACCAGGGTTCCTAGGGTGTGGGGTTGCTGGGGAGGAATTAACACACTTGACATTTCTTTTACTGTGGCAATTCTCTGCTCTTTCTTTATTAGTGCCATTCAGTTAGGGCTATCAAAGCATGCTGCAAACATTAATTAGCGAAATACCAGGCTGCCCAGAGAGAGAACGCTGGCTTGTTAAGTTGATTTTAAGGACACATGAACTGAAGCAAAAAAAAAAAAAAGTCAAGAGAGAAAAAGAAATTTAAGAGCAAAAATTGACCCTAGACATCTGGAGTGTGTTAGCTAGGTCCTTTTGCTTGTCCCTTGTCTTCCTTCCTCCACATGAGGACATAGCTTTCTGTTGGAGGGTATATGTGGCTTCAGAGACAAGGTCCCTATAAGACCAAGCTGTCTGTGGTTTGGTCTTGAAGCTTCTATAATTGTGAAAGGTAAATTTCTGTTGTTTATAAATTGCCAATGAAGGGCCCAGGGCATGGCAAACACAGGCCTGAGCATGGCAAACACAGGCCCGGGAATGACAAACACAGGTCCTAACTTGGCAAACATGGTACTGACAGGCTTTGCCTTTTACCCTCCTCCCCCTTGCTAAACCTTTAGATTACATTCCTAAAGCTGGCCACCAAGGTCTAGTCTCTTGTTTGGCCATTGACTCATTCCTGAGGCTGACCAAGGTCCAGGAATCAAAATTCATTCTTTTGACTACCCTCATTAAAATACCCACCAGAACTTATCAATACGCTCTAGCTCATTCTAACACAGACATACCCTTTATTCCCTTTAAAATTCACACCCTGTAAAAGCCGTTTGCTGCCCTTTCTGCTTGATTCACATTCAGCCATCTTGTCTCTTGCCTTTCTTAATAAAGGATCTCTTTGTGTAGGAAATCGGGGTTTGAGTGTGATCTGTGCCTAATCCAGGCTCCAGAGAGGAGCACCCCACAATACTGAGTCCTTTTACCTGGTCTGCAGTATTTTGTTCTAGCATCGCCAGTGGATGAGAACATGCTACTAGACCCGGAGGGGAGCCTGGGGCAGTGAGCTCAATAGGTGGAGAAGGCTCCTTCAAGTGGAGGAGCGAGAACGCTAACTCAAGCAGGTAAAAACATCAGGAAACCACAGAAAACACCCTGTCTCCAAAACAAAACAAAATAGCAGAAAGCAAGGAGAAGTCTGTGCAGTAGACTCAGAAAGAAAAATAGTGTGTTTCCTCCTCTATTCAGGACCTAGATGGAAAATTACATGAGGTGCCTTGAAAGGGAAATACTCCTACAATTTTCAGGCATTTGAACACTGGGTCCCAGTTAGTGGTGCCCTTTGGGTAGCTTTAGAAGGTGTGGCCTTACTAGCAGAAGTATGTCACTGTGGGCAGGCTTTGAGTATCTATAGTCATGCCCACTTCCTGTCTTCTCTCTGCTTCTTGCTTGCAGTTCAACAGGTAAGCTCAGCTGGCATCTCCAGTCACATGCTACTGCTGGCTGCCATATTGTTTCTGCTAGAATGGACGTGAAACCTCTGCAACTGTAAGCCCAAAGAAACTCTTTCTTCCATAAGGTGCCTTGTTCATGGTGTTTTCATCGAAGCAATGGAAAAGTAACTAATACATTTTGTGTGTGTGTGTGTCTGTGTGTGTGTGTGTAATGAAACTAGAAAGGGGGCTATGAGAGGGGAGACAGTGATCTCAAGGAGGGAAAAGGCAATGAAATACTTATGACATGAAAGCAGAGGGAGTAAGAGGGGAACCCATCAGAGGAAGGCAGGATATATGGGGGAGGACTGTGGGGGAGGAGAACATACAAAAATAAAGTATAAGGACATATATGTATGAAAATGTGATAATGAAACCTATTGGTATGCACGGTAATCTAAAAAAAATAATTTAAAAATTTGGAAGCAAGCAAAGCAAAAGAATAAGCTTGTAGAGTCAACTTCTGGGCTAGAACGGGAGAGGAAATGAGCTAGACGTTGGGCTGAAGGTGAGACAGGACCATGATGGAGGGCGTGGAAGTCACTTAAGGATCCTATAGCTCATGCAGTAGGAAAAAGAACAAGAAGAGAGCGAGGGGGAGAACGAAGTGGGAGGTGAGGAAAATGGAAAGGGAGAAGCTGTGAAGAAGAATGAGGTTAGAAGAGGAGGAGAACATGAGGCACGCGCTGGGGGGAGGTAGCCCGGCTGGCTTGGAGATCCCCCACGGGCCATGCACCCTTCGCATTGCTGTGGACTCTTACTGACATTGCGCCCCCACCCCCACCCCCGCCGCCTCTCCCATTTCTCCTACCTGCAGTGCACTACTGTGGGCCCCGCCCCCGGGCTTCTGTTGATGTAGTCTCTGACCGTTCTCACAAACTGGATCAGGGACTGGGTGGTCTCTGGGACTCCATGGTCTGGCCATACTGTGTAGTGAAAGTGACGGATGAGTCTGTGTGCGTCCAGCTGTTCCTCCTGCAGGAGTGGAGAGCAGACGATGAGAGGGGCGGCTGAGGGAAACACAAGGACTCCGACAACTGTGCCACACACGACTTTTCATGGTCTGAAACTACAGGCTACGAGTCAGGAAAAGCAGGATTCGGAGTCTCCCCTATGTAAGCTGTGTTCTTTCTTTCATTCCCTCCCTCTTCCCTTCCTGCCTCCCTCCTCCCTCCTAGCCTCCCTCTTTTCCTTCTTCCATCCTCCCTCCTTTCCTCCTTCCCTTTCTTCCTCTCTCCTTCCCTCCCATTCTTTTTCCTGAGATAGGGTCTCTTGTAGCCCAAGCATGCCCCAAGCTATCCATGTATTTGAGAATGACTTTGAACTTCTTGCCTCCACCTCCCAAATGCTGGGATTCCAAATATATAACCACAGTACCTGGCTTCTAAGTTGGGTTTTAAAATGAAGTCAAGCAAACTAACATACACTGCAAATCTTAAATTCCCTGATGGTCCACTCGGGTAGCACGGATTCTGAGACCATCTGCAAGATGAGATCCCCATAGTAGAGAGAGTCCTGGTCTGCTGGCCAGTAATGGTCACACTTCACCTAGAAGAGAACAGAGAGGAAAAAATAAGTCTGGAAACATGACAGCAAGGCCATCTTCACTCTCCCTCAAATCCCTGAGTTAGGGATCCAGGACCAGCTGCTAAAACTACTTGATCATTTACTTTCTATTAATCTGCTCTTGACCAGTGATAAAGTCAGGATGTTCTTCCAAGGGATAGCAAGAAACTGCCCCCACCCCCAGCATGAACCATCCCGACTTTCAGAATCATTCACCTTTAGGACAGCTTAAGGGTTTTTTTTTTTTTTTTTTTTTTGCTTTGCTTTTCTTTTTTTTTTCCTCAATGATTTCCTCGGTGTCCTGGTCCCACCAACCAATATAAATAACTTAAAATTTCTTCTTTTTCACTTGGGGCCCTAACTCAGTGGCAGAGAGGCCTTGCCTCACAAGGCCTGGGATTTCTTCCCCAAGAATTTCAAGGAGAAGGGAAAAACTGTTCTGTCAGAAGAAAGACCTAGCCAAACATAGGAAGGCATTGTTTTCTGGTCCGGTTCTGTTCAAATTTTTATCACTTTATGACAGAGACCTTTGAGGAGTTAGAACTTGCAGCTGAACTTGTGTTTATGTGCACAGAGATGAGGAAGGAGATTCTGAGTATTTGTTTTTATATTCTGTTTTGTGGAACAGTGATGTGGGATTTTCCTCTGTATGCTGTGAATACCATTGGTGAATAAAGAAACTGCCTTGGCCTGTTGATAGGCTAGAATTTAGGTAGGTGGGGAAAACTAAACTGAATGCTGTGAGAAAAAAGTCAGAGTCAGGAGAGAAGCCATGAACTTACTGGAGACAGATGCTGGAAATTTTACCCAGTAAACCACAGCCATGTGGCGATATACAGATTAATAGAAATGGGTTAAATTAATATAAGAGTTAGCCAATAAAGAACTAGATCTAATGGGCTAAACAGTGATTTAATTAATACAGTTTCTGTGTGATTATTTTGGGTCTAAGCTAGCCAGGTGGCCGAAAACCAACAAGCAGCCCTTTGTACAACAGAACAGGTTAATTAAAACTGATATATTTTATAAGATACATATTCATTGGCTATCAGTATATATTTGTATTTCTGTATATAGACTTAGATACCAAAACAATGAACATAACTTATTTTATTTTGTGGTGAGGTAGGCAGATATAGCTACATATGTGTATTGAATTTCTGTTTACATGGTTATGCAATATGTTTACATGAATAAGTATATTTATATAAATATCATCTAGTAAGGTTAGTCTTGTGGAGAAAGACATAGGTCCCAGTCTAGGCAGGATGATGGAAGACAGTCTGGAAATCCCGCATACACATATTAAGCTCTTTACCTTCAGTCTTTTAATCTTAAATGTAGTCATATAAAAGATTGTAAATGGGGATTATAAATATATAAGGTTTTAATAATAGTTCAGATAGATATTTTACTTCATGTCTGCCAGTACAGCCCCAAATACTTCTCTCCTGGGAGGTTCCTCGTCTCTGAGGGTGGCTCTCCTACCCACACTCTGAAGGGCAGAGCATGGGGTCAGGCATTCTTCCCACTCCTGTTTCCTTCGACTCTCGCAGGCTTCACAGTTTGAACGAAATGTCTGACCAAGAGTTTAAAAAAGGATCCAGATTGTTTTTATCATCAAGTGGCTTAATTCCCTACCAGCGTTCTCCCTGGGTGTCTTCTTGGGTTTGTGGGTGGAACTTTGGATGGGGAAGGAGGATAGAATTCCATCAGAAGAACAGCAGAGGGCAAAGCCAGGGAGGCAGGAAAACTGTCTACTCACTCGGCCTTTCTCAACACACTGGGTCACCATGACGATATTGTGAACGTTTTGTTCCCACGCCATTTTCCAGAAGTCGTCCTTGGTGCCAGGAAGCGGTCCCTGTGTGGCGATATATTCTCTTCTGAAGTTGTTACCCTGCGATAAGTTTACAATGCGGAGAGTCAGAAACAATGGGCTCTTCAGAACTGTAAACAAAGAGCTAGCTCACAGATTAGAAGGTATGGGGATCTCTGCCAGGCTCTGGAGAATAGGATATGAGCACAAGTGTCAAGGCTTGGGAGTGGGAAGGACAAAGGAGAGAGCATTGGGCCATTGTTTATAGCCACGGTCCCCTTAATCGGCTGGGTCTGCTGTCAAGGCGAATGGAAGATTCCAGCCCCAACAGAGAAAACAATTTTACTTTTGTATGTGTGTCCCTGTGTGCCTGTGTATGTGTCTATGCATACCCATGTGTGTGTCCATGTATGCCTTTGTGTGTGTGTGTATGAATGTGTACCTGTGTGTGTGTGTATGTATGTATGTGTACCTGTGTGTATGTGTCTGTGTGTGCCTTTATGTGTGACTGTGTATATGGTTAATGTTTCTGTGTCTATATGTACCTATGTGTGTGTGCCTTTGTTTGTGTATTTAGTGGTTTTGTGTGTGTGTGTGTGTGTGAACTGTCCAAAGAACAGTTACTCTTTTTGGATAATTGACATTACACTAGTTTGGAAAGAGGTATCATACAAAGAACACTTAATGGAAAATGAGCCATTCATGCCCTGAGCTTCTCCCAGAGGATGCACAGTAGGTCTGGACGTTCACCGCTCTGACTTCATCCTCACCGTAGTGACCCATAGTGACCTAGATATTCCCACTAATTCCTTCTCCACTTTAGCAGTCCAGAATTAGTTCTAGGTCTTAGTGGAAGCTCATTTCTCGTTGCCTTTGCTCAAGTTTTCTATATTACATTGGTTCTGCCATCCACAACCCAGCCACCCACACACTGCTTCTCAGCCTGGCTAATCTTTATTTATCCTTAGCACCTTGTCTGCCTGACTGAAGTCATCTTTCATCTTCTTCTCTATCGGCTGGCATTCTCCTCCTCCATGTTCTGTGGTACCTTCTAATCTCTTGCTACTTAGTGTGGTCCTCAGGCTAGCGGGGATGGGGTCACACAGGGGTCATTAGAAGTGCAAAGCAGCAGTTCTACCTGTCTCCGACAGATAGAACAGACGGTGTTGAAGTGTGAGCGGTGTTGATGGTCTTTCGTGTAGGAGACACTGCTCTGGCGTGGTAAGCACGACATTGCCCTGTGACTCTTCAAGGTTGCGACTATCCGACAATTCTCTTAGAGACATAATCCCTTTATATATCTCAGTGTTTGGATTATAGTTATCACTCAATTGATTAGCACTTACTGAATGTATAGACAATAATGAGGTATTTTCCCAATTTTTTTTGGAAAAGGAATTAGGGGCTCAGTGAGGTGACAGAACTAACTGTCACAGAGCCAGCCAGGGACAGAAGTGGAATTCAGATCAGATCTAGGTGTATTTTTTTTTACTTTTAAAGCCCCCCTTTTTTGGTGTATGTCGGAGGCTGGCAAGACGTAAGTCGGTATCAGAGCCCAGAAGTTAGCACAAATTTGAAGTGTGTATGTGTGTCTTGCAAAAGTCCAAGTAGCAAGAGATTGGCCCTTTTGGCATGGTGGCCTTACCCATAGGGGCTATTTTCCTCGAGCAACACTAATCTTCCTTATCTCAGGGCCACAGAAAGGAAACAATCTTTGAACACGCATCCTGGGTTTGTGAGAATTGCACCTGACCTTGGCCGTTGTGAAAAACAGCGATTGAAGGGAGCAACCTGTATTTTATGGCAAGTGGACATGGTCTTTTAAATCTCCCAACTTGTTTCTAGGGAGAATGGCTTAGAAGGTGTGGCACGTCCTGCATAGCCATCATCAGCTTCATCCTGGGCATGATGACCCGGGAGTTCACTTACAGGGATGTAACTGGCGTTGATGTAGTCAGAGCATGGGTCATCATCTACGTTGGACAGCTTCACCCTTGAGGTATCATCTGCAAGGAGATTGATTGAAAGATTTGCTGCTACCTGGTATGATAGTCCCATGTGGGCAATGTGGTATTAGATTGCCTGACCTCTGACCCCCACAGCAGCCCCAAGAGAAGTGTTCCTATCTCTGTTTAATAAGTTGGGGCTCTGACATGGTAACTGACTCGGGGCATGTGACGTAGGTGGCACATAAACAAAGGATGCAGGAAACAATGAGAAGCCACATCTACGGTTTCCTTTGCAACATTACCACCCTTGCTCCATGCAGCGGCCAGCTCTCTTTCCCTTCTGGAATGAATACCAGCAGGAAAACCGCCTTTGATGGCTCTGCCCGATAGGGTAGGCTGCTCTTCTTAAAAATCGCTGACTAAAGATTGTGAGGTGAACCCAGTGTGTCAGTCAGAGCCCTGCTCTTAACTTTGGTCATGCGCTGAGCCTCCAAGGAGAAAGAGTAAGAGCAGCAAAGAGAAATGCCAACTGGGCCTCTCAGAACCAGAGTTAAAAATGTCCATTACCCTGTGAGAGAAGCACCTGAGCACTGGGAACATTTCTTATTAAAGTCTTTAGAGCCTGAGAGTATGCATATCTAGCTAATCTGCGCGCGCGCGCGCGAGCACACACACACACACACACACACACACACACACACACACACGGTTTTTATGTAAGAGCGCCACTAAGTTCCAACATAAAACTTACAGGGCAATATGTTGTTGTAGCGATTTTTCCCTCTATTCTCAGGCAAGAGAGCAATGTCACATGACTGGTTTCGACCCACGTCTTTTAAGTCCTGTTAGGTTTAGAAAAAAGTTTGCAAGTGGAGATTCTAAAATAAAACAAGGCAACTCATACAACCCCGGAGACACATAAAGAAGTGTACCCGAGTTACAGTTTACGGAGCACTGGCATTCTGTATGCATGGGATCCGGTCCTTTTCAAAACCCTACATGAGAGGTGCTCTTAATACTATCTTACAGATGCGGCTTAGAGGCCATAAATGCCACGCTCCAGGACACGCATATAGCAAAACTGATATGCAAAGCCCCAGTATTCTTTTCCAAACTACCTTTCCCCCCCAGACACGCTGAGTAATGGACAGTATCACATTGAATTGTGTTCACTCTTTCCCACTGATCAGAAAGCACTGAGTTTGCCGTGCATTTCCAACTCAAACCAGCCTCTGAGAGCAGGTGGAATTCTGTTCAAGGGGCCCGGCTCAGACACAGGAGTGCTCTCCTGAGACGGGAAGCATCCCAACTGTGACTTCACAGTCACAATGAAGAGGAAATGCTACCGGTGGGTGCAGAAGCTTCCCGGGCCTGCAAGGTACCTCATATTCCTTGGACAGAAGGTAGTTGGAGTCAGCCTGCAGTTTCATGAAATGCCCTTCGAACTGATTTATCTTTATGGGGCTGTAATTCAAAACAAAACAAGAGGAGAAGAGTTACTGAAGGAATGGGAAAATGCTCTCACCAGGCTGAGTTGTATTTCAAAAGCGAATTAATTAATACGTTTTCTCTTACCAAGAGGTTTTCCGGTTGCTGTGAGATAGACAAAAAAGAAAGAGGGGCCTTGTTAGCAAATCTCACAGAATACCATTTTTCAGTAAACCGGGCAAAGGAAGCTTTGGCACTTACCCTTTCTGGCCCAGGTTCAAGTGGACAGACAAAGGCCCATCCCTGTGAATGCTCAGGCGGGCAGACGGCCTTTCTCGGCCACGGCTGAAACACAGCACACAGATTTCTTTATTCTAATTGTGTTACTTGGCTTGTGCCATGTCCCCCGTTTACGGTAAGGCTGTGCACACTTGTGCAAATGTGGAACTTTGAGATTCCATGGAAGTCTGCACTCATCTGACATCTCTTTGGGGGAGGAAGAGGAGATGGGAACAATATGACGTCACCTTGCTCACTCAGGAACATATCTCTGGAATGATGGAAAGATGTCTCCTGATGTTTGGTCATAATCATTTGCCACACTCAATAAAACTTTCCTTAAGAAAGTCCCCTAAGCCAGAAAACTTCAGATGCCAGATATGGTTGTAAGGGAGAACACAAGGAACACAAGGTTTTTTTTTTTTTTTTTTTTTTTTTTTTTATCAGTGACAGAAAAGGGCCCCGTTCTGGGAAGTATTCGTTTTAGTTCTTCCTGAAATTAGGAGAGCTGGTGAATCCCATGATGTTCATGCCAGCCGTACTTTCTAGGGGGTTTCAGAAACGCATGCAGGCAGTTTGGAAAAGTCTGTCTTCATGAGGTTATATATCCCAACTGTGTTGTCTGTGCGAAAGGATTCTGGTCCATATTTAAACAGATCTACTGATGGCCTCTCGTCATTGATGAGGGCCCAGTGCGTCAGTGGTTTGTAGGAAACCTGGAGAGGCATGAGTCTTGGATTCAGTTTGGCTCTTGTTCTTTCTAAGGAAACTACGGAGATTTAACCTGGAGAAATGAAACTAGTTTGCCCTTTCAGACTAAAGGGCATTTTTAGCAGTCTCTCTATGTTTGCGAGCCTGATCGCTAAGGGCTTCTTCACACTTACTTAGTCTTCTGTCTGCAGATGAAGAAGGCGACGAGGGCCACCAGCATGCCAATTAGAAACAGGCCAGCGCTCACACCTTCAATAACGCCAAACAAGGGCTCTGCGGTAATCCAGAGGGAAACGACAAATACAAGGAGAGAGGATTAGTGGTAAGGCACCAATCTGATAGCTATGAGAGCTGTCTTCCTAAGTAACATCACCATTCGTGCCGTTCAAGAGGCCCACAGTGAGGTATTGACGACCCCAAAGCCATGAGCAGACAGCTGGGGTGAAAGAGCTGTTGCCTACATCCTGCTATAGGCAGGTTGGTTCCAGAGTAAAAGTTCATCAACTCTGGGAGCGGATGATGTATATATTCTCTTTTATGCATTAATTAATTCTTTGTGGATTTCCCATCTTGCATCCAGATCCCACTCATCTCCCCATCCCCTTGCCTCCTCCCTCTGCCCTTGCAGTCTCCCCTCTTAAGATAAAACTTTAAAAAGACCATCAAAAACCAAAACAACCAACCAAACAAGAGAAAGAAAAAGAGAAGGGGGAAGAATAGGAAGAAGAGAAGAGAGAAGAGGAGGAGGAGGAAGTGTTCATTGCTATGAATCACTGGTCTGTTTTTCCTTTGGAAAGTCTTCCTATTTTGCTTTTCCTGTTTAGTTTTGGGAGCTTCACTCTCAAACATTAGATCTGTTTATTTTACATTGACTTACATTACTCATTCAATCAACACAGACATTCTCCTTTAATGCATTTATGATTCTGCTTTGAATATTTGCTGAGTGTTTTCTTTTATTGGACTACATAAATTTTCTGTCCAACATAATTGTTCAAATCTGAAAGAATCGTGTTTGCAAAGTCTCTACTCAACAGTAAATTTCAGCCAGGCACATCCAAATCCTCTTAGCTGGCTTCTAATCCTTCTTTGGCCCAGGATGAAGGAGGTTATCCTTGTATTTGCCAGAAACAGAGAGGAAGGGCTGTGAGGTTGGACCATCCTTTATTGCGCAGCAGGAGAGACCAACACAACGTGCCCAGACCAAAAGTCTGAGCCTGCAGCACACCAGACAAGGAAAGCCGGAACGTGATGGAGTCAAAGAACAAGACCATGGGAGTCATGCAATTTTCATGACAGTGGAGAAAATCAGAGACGGGCAGTGCTGAGATCGCAGGCTTAGATGGAAGATGCCTGGATACCAGCTGAAGATGATTGAGCAAGTTACTTAACCTCTTGGTACCACAGGTTCTCACATTTAAAATGCCTGGATACCAGCTGAAGATGATTGAGCAAGTTACTTAACCTCTTGGTACCACAGGTTCTCACATTTAAAATGCTGGTGACAATAACTGCAGGAGCTGTACTCCGTAGATTGCAAAACCAGCTCCAAAGGGGTGACTGGCAAGTGTCACTCACCATGGCCACCCATGCTGTCCCCCAAACTTGCTACACAGGTTTCCTCCAAACATTGATACAAAGCCTTTCAAATTTACATTTTAATTTTTAAAATTATTATTGTTACTTTGCTGGGGATTGGACTTGGGGGATCCTCCCATATGCTAGGCAAGAACTCTGCCTCTGAGCTACAGGTGAGTGATGACACACTGACCTCTAAATTAACATTTTTTATTTTTTTAAATAAAGAATTGTAATTACATTTATGTATGTATGTATGTGTGTGTGTGTGTGTGTGTGTGTGTGTGTGTGCATGGGTGTGCCCTGGTGTGAATGTGGAGGTCAGAGGACAACTTGCAAGAGTTGGTTCTCTCCTTTCCTATGTGGGTTCTGGGAAATCAAACTCAGGCAGTCAGGCTTGGAGTCAAGTGACTTTACCTACTGGGCCATTTCACCGGCCCACGAGTGCAGTGATATTTCATTTGTATTTTAATAAATAAAGCTTGCCTTGAAGTTCAGAGAGTAAAACAGCAACACCCACCAGCCTTACAGACCAGGCAGTGGTGACACACACCTTTAATCCCAGTAGCCACACTGGCTTGCCATAGAAACCGGGCGGTAGTGGTGCAGGCGTTTAATCCCTGCCCTAAAGAGGATTATGAAATGGGAGGAGACAGCTTGCACACATAGTCTCATTCTAAGATTCCTGGAGGCAGGATCGCTATTTTGGACTGAGGTAGAGGTAAGAGTCAGTGGCTGCCTGTTTTGCTTTACTGACCATCAGATTGAACCCCAATTTCAATCTCTGGGACAATTTTTATTAATTGTGCTACACAAGACTTTATGTATAAGAAAACAATAAACAGAAGGAAAACAAAAAGTCACCTTTAACCTCTATTTTTGGATATCATAATTAAAAATTAATACTTAGTGTTTTTCTTCCCCACTTTTTTTTTTTTTTTTTTTTTTTTTGGATTTTCGAGACAGGGCTTCTCTGCAGCTTTGGTTCCTGTCCTGGAACTAGCTCTTGTAGACCAGGCTGGCCTCGAACTCCCAGAGATCCGCCTGCCTCTGCCTCCCGAGTGCTGGGACTAAAGGCGTGTGCCACCACCTCCCGGCTTCCCCACTTTTTTTACGTGCACACTTGCCCCTAGTGTTTACAGACGATTGCTTCCATGACCCATGCCTAAAAGGTGGTGTATTATTCCATGTACACCCGCATGCCCTCTGTTTGATGTAGGCACCTCTGGATTAACTGACAGCGCCTATACAATGTGCATGCCGTGTCAGCCGGTGGTAGACTAAAGAACAAGGGCATGAAAAGAAAGTGTCTTTATAATTGAAACAACCATATTTGTTTCTTGATTTTTTTTTTCTGGGCTACACAGTATTGAACCTGTGGCTACAGAGAACCAGCCCCATATGCGTATTTTTGTTAAGGTCTGCAAGAAGTCCCACGAAAGGCCACCAGTCATGTATGCAGTCAGCAAGAACATTTATTGATGTTACCAACATGTTGGGGTCTTCCCATCTGACAAAGTGGTGCATGACCACCTCCAAAGAAGCTTACAGGCTTCTTTCAAGTGGGGCTAGGGGAGTTCTAGGAAGGAGAGATTAGTCTGGGGGCTGATTGGTGGGTTTAAGCAACAAATTCCCAGGATTGGCAGGTGGCTGTTGGGGCTAAGAACTTTTCAGCGGCAGGGTAGGGAAGGTTAGTTTTAGCTAGCAGAAGGCTGGGGGCGCGCCTGCTGATTGGTTGCCCCTGAGTTGTGGCTTTCCCGAGAACTGCTTGCTCAACTTCAGCCACTTCCAGTAAACTGAAGGAAGGCCTGGTCCCTGGCAGTGGCTATTAGAAACCTGTCATGGCTCTGGCCTGGCTCCCTGAGCCTCTCAGTTTTCTGTCCAACCTACAGCAAAGAGCTCTTTGGGTCAGTGTACATTGTGAGCCATGTAAGCTCTTAGCACCGGTGTTTCTCATTCACTTAACACTTCATTTTTAGTGGAAAAACATCATGTGCTTCCTCCTTCTTTTAAGATTTATCTCCCTCCAGTCTGTTCTGTAGAACTGGTGTGATCCCTCTGATCCACGTCAATCCATGGTCACGTGGAGATTAAAATCCAAGGGAAAATAAATACCCAGCCACCATCTGGCAAGTTACCATCCTCCCCACTAAAGGCTCTTGTAGATGACTTGGTAACTGGGGAAGGCATGCGTGGACGGAGAGGAGCCTTACCTGACTTGGTGGTGATAGGCAACGAGAAAAATGTGTCTGAATAGAGGGGCTTTGTGAATTCTTTCAAGTCCTCGTCAAATAGCTGCGTAAAGGCCCGGATGCTGATTCTGAAAGAAAACACGTTTATTTAACCAGCGACTGAGCGGAGCAGGATGGACCGAAAACTGAGTTCAAGGGGAAACAGGGTCGGTAGGTGGTTGTTCTGTGCGCAGGGTGAGATGAGCTATGGAGCCAGACAGGCGTGGATTCATGCAATCATTCACTGATTTGGTCATCAAATTCTTGTTGAGCCCCTGCAGTGTGCAGGTCACTTTCTAGGAGCCAGGGATCATAAGAGGACTAAAGCAAAATTCTTACCACCCTGAAAACTTCAATCCCATGGAGAAAGTCATACAGCATGTTTATAGATACAGTGTGCCTGATGTTAACAAATACCATTGATAAGAAAAGAACATGGAATTCTTAAGAAAAGAAGCAAAAACAGAAGGAGGAGAAGAGGAGGAAGAGAAGGAAGACGAAGAAGAAGAAGGAGAAGAAGAAGAAAAAGAGGAGGAGGAGGAGGAGGAGAAGGAGGAGAAAGAAGAAGAAGAAAAAGAGGAGGAGGAGGAGAAGGAGAAGGAGAAGGAGAAGAAGAAGAAGAAGAAGAAGAAGAAGAAGAAGAAGAAGAAGAAGAAGAAGAAGAAGAAGAAGAAGAAGATTATTTCAGGTGTCACTATGGTGATTATTATTAAGACTGACGTAAGTCAGTAAGACTTTGCTTGGCACTGATCAACCAGAATACACACTGGCTCACAGGGAACCTGACTGGCTGCCGTGTTGCCTAGATTATCAGGCTTGCCACAACACCCAACAGAGAAGGTCCATCCCCTGAGGAAATAATAAATTTGAATGTCTGTAGCCTTATCATCCAAGACAGGAGCTTAGGTTTCCTTTCCCTTGAGGATGCTGACTGGGTGACTCTATTTGCTTTTGGAAACACAATGAAGAATAAGAATGCCACAAATTCCTAGGGCAGGAAGGCTCACTCTACTGGCTGCAGCTGTGCTTTCTGGGGGCTTCAAAGCAAACAGCTGCTAGACTCATCCGCCACCTCAGAGCGAGGAACAGGTGCTTTCATTTAGGCAGAGCTCTCTCCAAGAGCCCTGTCTGGACCATAGAACACTTTCACGTTTGCACACCTTAGAGAGTAAGTATAGCTTTAGTTTCCTTAAAAGTGTCTGATGGAGCTTCGCATTGTTTGGGTCTCCCCAAACTCAGTCTTGCTGAATGTTTTCTCAACAGCAAGCATCGTATATTACTTGAGAAAGGCTAAAGCAGATGCAGGAGAAAGAATAATCTATTAAAACCCCTCAATCCTTCACACAATGTCCTGGAGCTTTTGTACAGTGCTGAAAAAGCCTTCTTTGCACATTACCCGAGAGTGGATGCAGGAGCTCAGCTTTTATAAATCACTCTCTCTAATATAATATAGAGTACTCTCGCCGTGTAGGCTATTCGTCTACAGGAGTTCATAGGCACTGACGTTGCACAGCTGCCTGAGCACCTCATAATGTAATACGTCTCCCAGGCCAATGATGGCCATGCATCTAACCTGTAGGCGGTGTGCGGCTTCAGTGGTCCATCACAGAACTTTTGCTGACTGGGATCACATTTACCACCAAGGCTGTCCATCTCGGCTCCGAGCTTAATGTTAAAGCTCTTAGAACTGCTGTCGGGGCTTTCGGCGCACTTGCTGGCGAAGTAATTCGTCTGGTAGACTCTAATGGAGGCGTTGTGCCTGTATTCCAGGTAGGAAGGGAGAGGGTGCTGTTGTTCTGGCTTCAGCTCATCCATGCCTGCAGGAGAAAACCCACAGTTAAAAACTAGTGTGTGTGTGTGTGTGTGTGCACGCCATGTTTCTAAGGCTACATGTTTATCCACTATCTTCGGTTATACCATAATAAGGATTCGGCAATCTCAGAATATGCTATGAAACTATTGTTTCTAATATACATAAAAATAATTTTTATAGGTATGCAGTACACATTTGATTTTCTAGACCACCGAGTCAATCAATTACATCAAATAATAACATGTCCCATGGTTCTGAATGCCTGGCAACTCAAGAGAGTGAAGCCACTCAGTAATCTCTCTACCTTGCCAAACTTATTGTGGTTGCAGAAACTCCAGTGACCTGGGAGACAGAGAAGAGATAAGGAAATCATGTCCCAAGGCAGAGCAGCGGTCCCCCAGGATAACCTGCACGTCTAGAGTTGGCTTACTGCTCTCTTATCTTGAATATGATTTGGTCCTGGCTCAAATTTGTCTGCTCACTCTGAGCACTTCCCAGAATTCCCTCCTTGTTCACCCAGCCTGCTGTCCACCCAGCCTGCTATCCACCCAGTCTGTTGTCCACCTGGCCTGTTTGGATGCTGTGAATTAGTTTTGATGTTGCTTGAGGAAAAAGAAAAAGCATACTTAATAAGGTAAATATTATAAAGATGGGATTCTGTCTTCGATGTATTTCCAGAAGTGGGTTTATCACAGCACCTAGGACTTTGTTTAATAAGATCCACTCACCAGGAGAATATCTTAGAATTTTTTTCTCCTGATTTATTGGTATTTTATTTATGCTGTGCCTGGGGATTCAGATTTTTAGGTAGAGAAGGAATCGACCAGGAGAGATTAATTCCAAGAACTGAGGTCCTTTTGGTATTATATTCTCAGGACACATTCTAGAAAGGCTCCAGACAGAGGTTTTTTAGTTCTCTCTTCCTCTTCCCAAAAGCCTATCTGAAACCCTGAAGCTAACTTTCTAACAGCTCCATTGGTTTCTGTTTTTATACATCCCTTCTGCCAAGCCCCTTAGCAAGGATAATCCCTGCCCCCAGTGTTCTTAAGCCCCACTCTACAGATGACTTCTTGCTTCTTGTTTTGTCATTAATTTACATTTTCTGAAATGGAGATATTATTTTGATGGCAATATTTGAAATGAAAAAAATATTGCCTCTAGAATGAGTCTATATATGCATGGATTGTTCTCTTTGGGTACAAAGGAACCATTGTGCAAGTCTGTGGACACCAGTATTGGAAACCTACCTGTCTGTGGAGCCGAAGGCTGACTTCCCTGATGGTTTTGAGTTTTGGGTCACTGCCCTAGATGCACGTGATGTGGAAACACGTTATCTTCATGGCTGTCTAATTAAAGACTATTTGCGGCTCACACGTTTGTCTCCAACTACAGGGTGTGAGGAAACTGGGGATGAACCAGTGACCCTTGAAATTATCTAATTAATTATGCATAACCAATTTCATACAACTAAATAGAATGCAAAACCATACAGAATGTCAAATACCGAGTGAAACGAAAATACCATTTAGTCTAGAAATCGTTCTGGTGTCTGTGCTGTTTATAACGCCTATTTACCCACACTTGGCTCAGAAGTTGTCAGAGATGATTAAGAAAATTCATGGAGAGCACCTTAAATAATTTTGAGAAAACTAAAAGAAGTGAAATAGACTAAAGTCACTGTATACACTGGGATCTATTTGAAAGAGTTGATCCTTAGGCCCTGAACAGCAAATGAATACTTGGACACGCGCACCCCTCCCCCAATACAGCACCCCCACAGGCAATGTGACAGAGTGTGTCACAGTGAACTCTGAAGGTGACAACTCAATTGTGTATAGTGGTGTGACAGCTACTGTATAGTGTTTGTCTCACCTGTGGAAACCGGGAAGTCCCTGCATGTCCTACAAAACTAGATAATGAAATACTGTTAAAAGTGGGGAAACTGAAGCAGGAGACTCATGAGTCTAAGGTTAACTTGGACTACAAAGCAAAGGAAAGACCAGACTGGGCTACATTAAAAAAAAAAGGAAAAAAAAAAAAGATCCTGTCACTGGAAACAGGCACCAGTAAGATCAAGCAAACAAAATTCAGTAAAGGAGGTGATAATTCAAATGAGCATCTTTTTTCTCTTGCAAGCTTTTGGGCATTTCTGTGAGTTGATGCACAATTTGGGAGTAGGTGGCTGTCAGAGGCATTTGAGACAGAGAGAGATAAAGAGTTGAGATATACTGCTACATAATGGCAGAATTAAAAAAAAAATGGAGTCAACAAGATTGATAGGTAGCCCAGGGGATGTTCATGTGTTTCCAACAGTTCTTGGGAAATAATAATGGCTCTGAAAATGATCTTTATATTTTTTTTTTGAGCTAGGTCTTGCTACATAGTATAGGATGCTCTTGAACTCATAGTAGTCCTCCTGTCTCAGCTTCTTGAGTGCTGAGCTTGTCAGTGTGGGCAACTCTCTTCAAGTCAATGTTTATTGTTATTGTTATTTTTATTATTTTCTTCTCATTTAATAAGTATGCCTAAAGATAACAGGATTTGTTGCCAAATCAGCTCTACTTGTATCTCCCTGGATCCAGCAGAGAGAGAAAAATGAGTATTAAAGTTTAATTCTCTACACTCTCTGAACTTTGTCATTGAAGGAGCCCTCACGTGACCTCTAAGGAGGCAATTCTGTGTCTTCGGTTCATTAACTCATCACGACTTACCGTCAGCCTCTCTCACCACCACTGCGAAGTACTTCACGGCTCCGTTGGTGTCGCTGAACCAGCTGCAGTTGACAGTGAAGTTGATGGAGGATTTGCTGATCAGCACCTCCTTCTCATTCACACGAATATGCGGGGGTGGCGGAGGAGGGCCTGGAAAAAGAGGTGGGGAAGGAGCCAAGCAGGGTCACGAGGCTGCTTTCTCCCTCTGAACAGGTCAGGGGGGTGAAGGTCTGCAGTTACCCCAGCCTTTGTGCACTAGAGAGTGTGCGATTATAGCCACCCCACGAGGAAATCCTTCTCCTCTGCTGAGCAGAAGCAGGCAGAGAAAACAATTAGCGGTATCACGTTAAGCATAATGGAAGAGGCGGCTCCTCGGCAGGATTTCCTCTGGTGGTAGCACCAAATCGTTTAAAAGCCCCACTAGTTATAGACTAACTAGACCAGGCAAGGCGATGCACTTCAGTTCCAACTCATTCGGGCGGTTTAATGTTGACTTGTTTGCTAGTGGAGAACTTTACTCAGAGAAAGGTCTGTTTTCCTGGAGCCATTTGCTTCTCTTCTCTAAGGCTGTGCACACGGGGACAGCGTGCAGTAGAATGAAAGGGATGGAAATGACCAAGAGAGGGGCATAACCCTCTACCCTGGGTGACAGGAGGGCCCACGCAGAGCTTTGGGGGATACTTACGGTCTATCATAGTGATGGTGCTGTCTTCTACCACCTCACTGGTCACACCGGCGGAGTGCACCTTGATGGACACTAAGTACCTCTTATGAGGCACTAACATCATGATGTTGAGCAGAGATTTTTCTTTCTCCAGTTTCCTGGAAAACTCAATCTCTTGGGTATCCATCTTCCGGCACTCAACGTTATAACCATCGAAGTCGGAGTCAGGTGGTACCCAAGAACAGGCGATGGCTGTCGAGTTCTGGGGACGACAATGCAGGTTTTGTATCTTGTCTGGCTCTGGAGGAGCAAAGGGGGAAAGACACAACTCAGGAGTGTGGGAGTCTCACTTCCTCGAGCACCTTTGGAGGGAACTGTCTCTGAGATGTACACAAACAGTCCCCATAATTTATTGAATTGCTTTTGGGGGAAAATATTTTTAAGGATCAAGGAAAATTTCTGGCTACTGGATTGCACTTTGGAAAAAATGTTTAAGCCATGCGATGGTGTCATATGCCTTTAATTCCCACAATCGGGAAACAGAGGAAGGTGAATTTCTGAGTTTGAGGCTAGCCTAGTCTACAGAGTGAGTTCCAAGAGAGCCAGGGCTACGCAGAAAATCCCTGTATTGAAAAACAACAAAACAAATGAACTAATGAACGAACAGAAAAAGTTTAAAGTCAAAATGGGGCCGGTAAAATGGCTCAGCAGGTAAAGGTACTTGCTGCAAAACCTGGTGGCCTGTGTTCAGTCCCTGGAACCTCCATGTTATAAGAAGACAACTGACTCTCACAAGTTATCCTCTGACCTTCACATCCATGTGTGCTGTGGCATGCACACACGTGCATACTCATGAGAGCACACACACAAAAAAAATAGACAAATAAATACAAAGGCAAAAGAAATAGCTAGAAATGCCAGTAGGGATGTAGCACTTGCCTGGCCCAAGTAAGGCCAAGGGTTCTCTCTTGCATACTGCAAACCCGAACGAAAACAATACAACAATAAAAACCCCAAGAAAAGGAATGGAACTTTAGAAAATCGTTGATATGTTTTGAGAAAACAAATGCATGTGAGCACACCAAAACTGGTGGAACAGAAGGTGGGGCAGGGTAGTTTAGGGGTTAAAAGGGAAGCTCCCAGCCTGAATGCAAAGTCTACTTATCAACACTTTTGGACAAGTGACTTTTCCACCACTATCGCCCAGCTGTCCATGAGGAAAATAAGAATTTCTACTTCATAGAGTTATTATAATGCTTTCATGGTGGAGACATGTACAGCCACCTAGCGTATTGGCTGGCAGAGTCCTTACTCAATAAAAGTGACCTCTGCTAAAGAGGAGGCTGGAAAGTAACTGTAGGGAGTTATGATCCTCATGTACTGACTTCCGTCGCCTTCTTCCAGTCTTGCCTACAGAAACCTAGAAGGACTCTATCATTCTATTTTCTACCAAACAGGAGATAATATGCATGCTCACTCTCTGAATCCAAGTCCAACCATCTCAAACGAGACTATGGATTCAGCCCAAACCCCTCTGGAGTAAGATGATCCTCTCATCCCATCTGAATGCCAAGAGAAGCAAAACAAGTCATACTTGTCCTCACAGATCCAGAAACTGGTTTGCTGTATGTTTTCCAGGAATCCCCACTGACCGTCTTGACACTGAATTGATAGAACCTCCCTGGGTGAAGCCCATACACAATGCGTCCTTCTGATTTCCTGTTGCGGTAGGGGTTGAGGAGAGTGAGTGCATCTCTGGGGAGCCACTGCAGCTCAAAGTCATTGTAGTCTGTCCAGTCTGGGGGCCCCTTCCAGGTGATGGCCAAGGAAGTGTTTGTAACATCAGCAAATGACAAAAGACTGGGGGGACTTGGGGCTATACATAAAATAAAATGAAAAAAAATCACATAATCAAATTTATGACGTAGCATATAGATTCAGAGCACTGAGTGACATCACATTTACTTTAACGTATGAAGAGAAAACATGATAATAATAGATGCAGAAACTTTCTTTTATAGTAGCTACCTTGTATAAGGCACTATACATATAGCATTACATATGTCTTTTCTTTAAATATTTATAACCATAGTTTCCTTACCAGGATGTCACAGAACGTGAATGTATCCCAAATGGGTTATGTGTGTGGGAAAGTATTCCATCAGATTTGAAAGCAAAGGGCTAGGATTCAGAGACAACTGTGTCCTATTTTAGATAATCTTGTAGACTGATTATGTGGTGGTTTGCAAGAAAATGGCCCCCAAAGGGAGTGGCACTATTAGGAGGTGTGGCTTTGTTGGAGTAGGTGTGGCCTTGCTGGAGAAAGTATGTCACTGTGTGTGTGGGGGGGTGTTTTGAGGTCTCTTTTGCTCAAGCTTCCCTTGGTGTTACACTGAGACCACTTCCTGTTGCCTGCAAGATCTACAACTCTTAGCTACTTCTCCATCACCGTGTCTGCCTGCATGCTGCATGTTACACCATGACAATAATGGGCTGAACTTCTGAACTGTAAGCAAGCTACCCCAATTAAATATATTTTTTATAAGTGTTGCCATGGTTGTGGTCTCTCTTCACAGCAATAGAAACCCTAACTAAGACAGACTCCAAGGTGGGACACAGGTATTATCTGTGTATGCCCAAGGCACAGCAGCATGAAGGAGAGACTAGCCCGTAGTGACACAGTGGTGATCTCTGTCATTATCCTCGTTTTTCAGATATGAAAGCTGAGGCTGAGCTGCTCAGTGATCCTACCTTGCTTCATGCAGGTGCGTGACAGTGCACAACCAAGAGCCTAGTACTTGTTACACAAAGCAGAGATGGATGAGTTTTATTTTATCATTGTGCGTGTGTTCATTATGTACAGACATACATGTATGCCTGTGAGGGAGAGAGACAAAGAATGTATGTGTGTGTGTGTGTGTGTGTGTGTGTGTGTGTGAGAGAGAGAGAGAGAGAGAGAGAGAGAGAGAGAGAGAGAGAGAGCATGCATACATCCCATAGCTCATGTGTGATGGTCAACATTGAGTGTTAGTCTTTGTACTTGGCTCCTGCAGCATGTCTTTGTTGTCTGCCCCGTGTATGCCAGGGTGTCTGGCTCACAAGCTTCCCATGTCCCCACCCCCACCTTGCCTCTAGGAGGACACAGTATTACAGATATGCTTCCTTAAGCTCTACTGTACTTGGGTTCTCGGGTTTAAACTTACTCCTCTTCCTTGAGCAGCAAGTACTTGCTCTCCCCCCCCCCCCCGCCCCAGCCATCTTATCATTAAAATCATTATTGAAATATATCTCTAGAAGTCACTCCTCACCAGTACTCGACTGGGCTTCTTACCTGTTCTGCCCTCCCCTGTGACTTTATTGCTGAGGTCCCCACTGTGGGTCACCACATACAGGGTGTATTTCCTTCCAGGCACGAGGCCCTGAAAGCGCCACTCTGTCAGGCCCTTGTCTTTCCAATTCTCTTTCTTTGTGCCATTGGGATTATAGAGAATCAGCTCATAGAAGTCAAAGTCCCCAGAGGCTGGACTCCAGCTGAACCAAAGGCTATCTGTCATGTTCCGATTGGATGCTTTGAGATGGTTCACGGCAGCTGGGACTGAAAGGAGAAAAAAAATCACCCTGAGAACGAGACCGTGGTGTGAAACCGTGCTGATATGCAGGTGAGAATCTGGGCTGTGCCGGCCACATGGTTGAGTCCACTTGCACTGTGGACTCAGCTCTTGCCGATGGGTCAGCCTGCTCATAGCAAGGCTCATGTGGAGTAGCTATGGGTACAGTTGAAACAAATCAAAGCAGTTGGCAACTCTTCATGCTGGCTACGTGCACCTCAATAAACAGGCCCAAGGAAATATTGAGGACCTGATTAATATCAGGCAGCAATGTGCCAGTCACCTTCTACATGACCCAGAAAAATGGTGTCAGTTTCTCCTAGTCTGACCCACCTCTCCAGCAGCTACCATCCCATAACCACCCTCTGTGTTTCTTTACTGTTCCATTTGCCTTCAGGTTCTCAGTTCTGTCATTTTATTCCTTGTCAAAATCTGTATGGGCACAACCTCAACTTAGGAAAAGAAGTGGTCAGAGTCTTTTCTACAAATATGTAAATAAGTTTCAATGCTACCTACTCCATAGATTTTTCTTTTAATTCTTTGGATAAAGATGATTCATTGAGAGTCCCTTTCCCCCCTCTAATCTGGAAGTTTATTATGTAGCTAAAATGCTCACACCCACAATGCTCCCTCCGCAGCCTCCAGAGTGCTGGGGTTGAGTCAGGCACGACTATGCATATGCATATGTGCATCTTCCGTTATCTGTGTATTAATGGTCCAGGTCCCTCTGACCAAGGATACTGATAACAATGCTAACGTCTAGGCAATGCCATTTGTGGTCTGAGCTCATCACAGCTCTCTTTTGGTCCTTTTGGTGGACAAAGAGGACATTTCCAATGAATGTCCTTAGGGGACCACCTTCAAATTTCTCTCACCTTCAGATCTCAGCTGAAGTCCCTGTTTCAAGTAGTGTCCTGTCCTACTAAGCCATGGTCTGCACATGCTCATTGCATGGAATTTTTCAAGGTCATCTCCCTTTAAAAGCTGCTGTCCCAACCTTCTTTTCTCCTCTAACATGGGGCTATCTAAGGCCAAAAGCCAATCTTTCTTGATCATTGCCATATTCTAGGAGTTGGTCATGTGCCTGGCACCTCAAAGCCCTGAAGAAGAGGTGTCAAATTAGAAAGACGCTGAAGTTGGATGAGATTTAACTTATTTCTAGCCCAGAGAGATTTTTATCTCCCATTTTCCTTGTCTTGTTCATTTTTAGCTAGGGCTATATTTCCAACACACTGTGGTCACTCTGTGTGTGTGTGTGTGTGTGTGTGATTTGTACCTGACCTTCTGTGACCTACTCTGCCTTCCATATATTCCTTGCAGAGAGTTGCAGGGCATAGCTTGACTAGAATCAGGAGGAATTACAACCCTCTTCTCAATGGTTTCCTGGCAAGTAGAGGAAGTTGGTTCATTTTTCACAAACTCCATGCGACAAGTAAACAGAGGCAAAGCAACAGAAGCCAGTAGACTAAGTAGACACAACTCATGCCTAGTCTAAGTTTGGGTCAAAGTTTCAAGGTCATATATTCATATAAAGTTCCACTTTGGACTGAATAGGGACAGAAGAACAAATCAAGGCTGAGCCAGTGGATACCATGAGATACCGTGACACCTCCCTCCCAAGCTATTACTGCTTGGGTCTTACCTGTTCTGCCAAATATGAAGGACTCATTGGAGAGCTCCCCACTGTGAGTAACAATCACCAGTTTGTACATTCGGCCTTGCAACAAGTTCTGGAAAGAGAAGCTCTGGACCAGCGGGTCAACCTGAGCTCTTTCCTGAAGAGTTTTGTCTGGGTTGTACAGGAAGATGTTGTACCAGCTGAGCTCACCCTCCGAGGCCGTCCAGCTGAAGGACAGGTGTCTAGTGGAGTTCTCCGTGATCTTCAGATTCGTGACAGCTGCTGGGACTGCAAAAGCCAAGGGACAAGAATGAGTCGGCATTTGGCATGTCCCTGACCCAGTCCGGGATCAACGCCTTGTTGGACACATTCAACTCCAAACACATCAGCTCTGAGTTAAGATGCCGACTTTCAACAGACGCAAACAGCAGCCTCCCAGTATGGGCTTCCCTGAGAGGCCTTGTCGACAGCCCTTCCCAGATGATATTTCTGTTTCTGATTTTGATAGGTTTGTGCTCCAGACAAGCTTTGAGTTGGCCTACCCAAACATATACCCCATCTAAGAACTGCTAGAGAGAGTGAGGGGCTGGTCTTGCAGCAGGGTCTCCGCGACACAGGACAACAGGATATACTCACGTTAGCTTTATAGTGTATTTTAAAATCAGATAGTATTATATTTTTAGCTTTGCTCTTTCCACTCAAGAATTCTTTTTAGCTAGTTTCCGGTCTGTTGTGGTTCTGTATTAATTTTAGAATGTTTTCCTAGTTCTATGAGACATGCATATCATTGGTATTTTGATGGGCGCTGCACTGAAGCTGTAAGTCACGTTAGGTGGTGGATATTTCGGTCATGTTCTTCCTTATACTCCACTAGTGTGGGAGCTCTTTCCAATTCTGTGTTCCTGTTTCCTTTTCCATTTCTTTTACCAGAGATTTGTCATTGATTGTAGAGGCCGTTCACTCTCTTAGGCAAATTCTAAGTACTTTGTTTTCTTTGTAACTTATAAATAGCATTCTGTTCTTTATTTCCTTCCTAGGAGTTTTGCTATGATACACTAAAACATTTTCATTTTTGTTTTTGTATGATGACTTTGTATCCTGCAATTTTACTGAATGGTTTATCAGTTCTGTCTTCTGTGGACTCTGCAGGCCTTTGTTAATAGGTAAAATCATATATCCACAAATAGTGATAATTTAACAACTTTCATCCTGCTTGTGTGGTTTCGCCTTTCCTTTCTTTCTCTTGATAACTAGGTCTGAGTAAGACTTCTGGTACTATGTTGTATGAGGTTGTGGGACTAGATATCTGTCTTGTTGTTGATCTCGACCCCTTTTGAGGGCTGAATGACCCTTTCACAGGGGTCACCTAAGACCATCAGAAAACACAGACATTTATATAACAATTCTTAACAGTAGCAAAATTACAGTTATGAAGTAGCAACAAAAATTATTGTATGGCTAGGGGGTCATCATAATATGAGGAACTTTATTAAAGTGTTGCGGCATCAGGAAGGGTGAGAACCTCGGTTCTAGATCTTAGGGGAAAGTTCAGCTTTCTTCTCATTCAGTGTGCTGTTCGCCAAGTGTTCCTTATATATGGTTTTCATTATGCTCCTAGATCCAATTTGCCCACTTTTTTAAAAATCATGAACACAGGTTGGATGACATTGGATGCCTTTTCTGTATTGTGGAGATCTTATATGCAGATTTGCATATGGAACGGTCCTAGCATCCACAAGGCAAACCCTCTGATTATGATGAATGGTTTGTTGGTTCTTGTTGGACGAGACTTGCTACAGCTCTGCTGTGTTCATTAGAGATATTAGTCTACAATCTTCTTTTTTTTTTTTTTTTTTTTTTGTTTTTTTGTTTTCTCCTTAGCTGGGTTTGGTATCAGCATAGCGCTGCCCTTGTAAAATGCTTTTGGAAGAATTCTCTCTGCTTCTGATTTTTGGACCTGTTTGAGAAGAGCTGATTTTATTTCTTTCTGGCTGGTTGGAGGGGCTCCCAAGCGACTGACCACAGATGAGGAAGCAGCAGAGAAACACAGACGCAGAAAACTTCAGCACTGGGTCCCCATGGAGCTGGCTGAGAGACAAGACAGTGGCAGGGAACCATGGTAACTGCTCTGTGGTGCCCACTTGAAGTCCTGGAAGGAAAGTCCTCAAAAAGTTGAGGGGCGGGGAGCAGAAGGGGAGAGAAACCGGAACCGAGCAAGTGTGTTGTCATCACCTGACATCTTACTTTAATCCAAGCTTCCGACTTTTTGAGGACTATATGCTAATACATTTGCACTGCTCCAAACAACCGAGTAGATAGCAGAGTCAGCTTCAGCAACGGTAAACCAATAGCACAGTTTTTAACGACACATCAGAATGGGAGCGTGGTGCACTGAGGTTATGGGCACTGACTGGCTGGTGCAGAAGTGTGATGTCAGAATGGGTGCGACTACAGTGTCAAGAGCTTTCCGTCTTTTTCCAGCATCACCTGTCTCTCACCTTACAGCGTCTACACTATGGTAGACAAGGAGATAGCTGGTCCAAGACATGATATTGTGTTAATTACCTGTTCGGCCTTCAGCCTGGGCTTCCTTGCTAAAGAGGCCTCCGCTGACAGTTAGGATGTGCAGCCTGTATTTCTTGCCTGGCGTTAGGTCTTCAAGTTTGTGCTGCTTGGCGGTAGCCGGCTCTGACGTGTTGCTCAGGAGAAGCCCGTTCTCATTGAGAAGCAGGATATCATATCTTTCTGCCACGCCAGCAGCTTTCTGCCAGCTTACCGTTAAGGAGTTACTGCTGTAGGCATTGTCTGCAACGACTCCCTGGACAGGCGCGGGAACTGCAAAGAAACAAGAGAAGCTAGAAAAACTCAGGCTCCACCATTTAGGCTAAAATATTCAATCGAGGAAAAATTTGTAAAACCAAAGTGCACAAAACTACACTATCGTTCCTTAAAAATAATTTGGAAAAAAATCAAATTTTAAAAACTGCATAGTTCTGAAGACTTCTGTGTATAAATAAAATCTGAAACAAATTTTTAGCAAGTGTACATTTCCCTTAATCACATTTAGTTAAAAACTCTATTAAAACAAAAAATATAAAGACGAGAAATACTCATAAAACTGTCAGAAAATGTACACACTTAGTTTTAAATTAGACTTTCACCACTTTGCTAAGTCTATTCATTCACTGGTCCACTACTGAGAACCAGAGAGCCCTCTCCCATAGGGGCCTTCACCAGCTAGAGCTCACCTGTCTGCCCATGCGCATCAATCTGGTTGCTCAGGGACCCACTAACAGAAGCGACGGCGATCCTGTACTTGGCCCCGGGCTCCAGGCTGTGGAAAGTGTGCTCTGAGATGTGCTTCGGGATGCTCTGAGACTGAATCTTCTCGTTCTGCCTGAACGCTGACGCCACATAGGAGTCAACATCCCCACCACCAGGGGTCCAGGTTACCATCAATCGATCCGTGGCTCCGTTGGCAGAAATGTGAATATTTTTGACAGTACTGGGAACTGAAAAAGAAAATAAATTTAAAAACCATCACTTAAGAAATGAATGAACCATGGGGATATTCACCTAAAGTTTCCAATCTGGACTGGGGATGTGGCTCGCGGCTACTGTACTTGCCTATTGCGCGAAGCCTTGAGCTCTCTCCCTAGCACCTCCCCAGGCCAGGTTTTTTAAATCATTTATCATTTACTGAAAGAATGCATGTGGAGAAAGAAATACAAATTTGCTTTCCTCCCCTCTTCCCCCGACTCTTCTACCAGAACGGAAGTTAAGGGGAGAAAGTTCAGACAGAGATCAGGCCAATGAGAGAAGTAAAAACACTAGCCATATATTGAGGGGTAGTTGATTGTCTCTATCTTTTTCTTTGGTTTTCTTCTTTACTAGCGATGTGACAATAGGCAAAGTTTTTATCCTCTGTAACTTTCTTCATAAGGAAAACCTATCAATGGTGATAATAGTAACGAGTCATTGGCTTATGAAGTCTGGGCAGAATATATTTTGCTGTGGTACTGACCCCCAATAAGCTGTCAACTTATATTATTAAATAAGTGTGGTAGTGCCTAACAGAATTCCAAAGAACGGACACCCCAGCAGCAGAGCTATTTATTAAATATATAATATAATCTGTGCATTCCGGAAGACCCAACTAGGTTGCCCTTTAGGTGTTTATGTCTCTAAAAGGGTCCTTGTCACCTCTTCACCATACTGCACTTTTGTTAATTCTGCCTTTACAATGTCATTGTCATTATCAGGACAATTTTATGCTTCTTACAATCCCTCATGTCTCCATGTCTTAGCCTAAATACCTGCATTATCTAACCCCTTACATACATCACTGCGTCCACTCAGGCTGAAGAACAGTACTTCCAATTACCCGTGAGGCCCTCAATGAAGGCCGACTGCTGAACGTCGCCACTGACGGTCAGGACAAGGATTTTGTAATGGCGCCCTGGTGTGAGTGCAGTGAACTGATACTCAGTTGCGGTGTTCACAAGGTGAATAGGAGGAAAGACCTTCATGTCATTGAAGAGCAGCTGGACCTCATACTGGTCAACGTCCCCATCGGCCAGTGACCAAGTCACATGGAGGTCCTCGGTGCTCCTGTTGCGGAGTGTGAGGTTCTTCACAGGCTCTGGGACTGGGGAGGAAAACGGGAAGATATTTCAGGAACGCGGCTGATCAAGTTTACCTACACAATCTATGACTCACGCTCAAGGATCTGCCAAACATCTCTCACCCCTGAAAAACCTTGAGTTACTTCATGCGTAATTAAACAAGAAAAATTGAAAGCAACTACTTAGGTTGTGATTCCCCCCCCGACATAAATCTCATATGCTACATGTTGGTAGAATATAATTATAAAATGAGTTATGATCTCAATCAGAAGATAAAACAAGATGTCTATAATTTTATGACTTAATGCAAGGAGACAGCAAAGAAAAATGAGACACATTTTTCTCCCTCCCTCACTGTGCTTGCTTTTGATCTACCAATATTCTGTAACGGTAGGCCATTGCCTGGCTGAGTGATGTAACGGTAGGCCATTGGTGGACTGAGTGATGTAATGGTAGTTCATTGGTGGGCTGAGTGATGTAACGATAGTTCATTGCTTGGCTGAGTGATGTGAGCCCGAGGTTAGAGCTATCGGGACTATAGCTGAGTGGTCAGGAAGTAGAGAGAACTCAGGGTTTCCATGAACTTATTCAGTGACCTCCTAGTCTAGTCACCCACACGTCTGGTACCCCCTCCACTTACTCGTTCTCCCATTCCCTTGTTCACTAGCTTCGTATTGTCCACTTTTGGTACTGACGGTGACACTGTACAGGCGTCCGGGGACGAGTTGAACAAATACACACTCGTTTTCCGACTTGGGAATGCTTTTGGTTTGAGTGAAGCTGTTTTTGTTTTTGATGGTGACTTCATAGTGATCGAAGTCTCCAGTGGCATGTACCCAGGACACCTTTAAGTAGTCACTCCTGGCAGAGTTGCTAACGCTGATTCCCTGGACCTTGTCAGGTACTGGAAAAGAGAACAATGAAAGCTTTAGTGGTTCTGGGAGAGCAGTTGATCACAGATAACACCCTGAGACAATAAAACAAAGAAGCTAGTTTTTATCCTGATGCAGACCTATACATCACAAAAGGGAAATATAGTTGTGTTACTTAAAGTGACCTTTTAGCAAAACCTGACGAATGCATTCTAATCTAATAAATGACAAACAGAATGTCTCTTATAAGGTGGAACATCAAAATGATAACTAGTGTCTAATATGAAGGATAGAACCCATATTGATGACCCCAGCATATATTGGTAACTCACGTTTACAAGAAAAGTATTAAAAAACTCAAAAGAGAAATAGAAAAAGAGGAAACGCATATGAGTACACATATAAAGAGATGCTCTGAGTCACTAGTGATGAAAGAAATCAAACCTAGACCCCAATTCTGTATTCCTTCAGCAAAACCGAAAACCTGACCCAGCCAGCTATGGGAGAAGACGTCTTTCACGTCCTTCCACAGAGGTCACACAAGGAACTGTTGTGTGCACACAGTGAACTATCACACAGTTCTCATAATTAATTTCTTATTCACTTGAAACAGACATTTGAGTATCTTGCTTTTATTATAAAAATATGAACTGTGAGCAAATCTAAGCAACATAGTGATAACTTCAAAAATTCAAGTCCCTGAAAGATGACGTACTTCTTACATACATCAAATGCCTTTTTATGTCAAAACAGCTGAGAAATGAGAGACGTATTAAGCTAGGACCGTACATAAGTAAAGCTATGCAAGGAAGAGGTGAGCACGATGACATTGGCTATCGGGGGATGGATTAGTCAGGCCTGAACCATGTGATTGGACACAGATTACTGTCAAAATCCTAGCTAAGTTTTATTTTAGGCAGCAGTTTCTCATGCCATTTTAAATTCATAAAAATCACTAGCTAGATGCCTAGAAAAATCAAAGTGTCAACTGATGTGTGCTTTTTTTGAAGCAAGAATTATGACTAATGCTATTTTGCAAACCTGAGCCTCTTTCCAATAGATATATAAACAAATGATTCCATGGGCCCATGTTTTCCTTCTTCATGAATAGGAAATTGCCTTTTACTAGGAACACTGCAAAATAAAGCAATTCTGATATTAAAGGATGGTCTGGCTTTCAATTTAGGACTGAATTTTGATTCAAAAATAAATAATAAGTTTTCTCTCTCTTGCCTATGTGTGGGGTGTATCTACATGGTGTATTGCATGTACGTGTGTGTGCTCAAATAAATGTAGAGGCCAGACATTGACATCTTCCTTGTTTTCCATCTTACTTTTTGAGAAAGGGTCACTCACTGAACCTAGAACTTGTCAGTCTGACTGGGTAGGCCAACCAATTGGCTCCTATCTGCCTATCTCTGTCTTCCTAGGCCAGGTCCAACGTTCTACCACCACAGATGTGTGGCACCATGGTGTTCTGTTTGTGTGTTGCTTTCATTGGTTAATGAATAAAGAAACTGCCTTGGCCTAGTTGATAGGGCAGAACTTAGGTAGGCAGGGAAGACAGAACTGGATTCTGAGAGGAAAAAAGCAGAGTCAAGGAGAGAGCCGCCATGGAGCCGCCAGAGACACACATGCCGATTCTTTCCCGGTAAGCCACTGCCACGTGGCGATACACAGATTAACAGAAATGGGTTAAACTAAGATGTAAGACTTAGCCAATAAGAAGCTAGAGCTAATGGGCCAAGCAGTGCTTTAATTAATACAGTTTCTGTGTGGTTATTTTGGGGCTAAGTTAGCCAGGTGGCTGGGATGAAGAAGCTACCTTCCTTGCCACAGCACCACGCTGGGCTTTAATGTGGGTGCTGGAGACCACACACTTAGGTCCCCATGCTTGCGTGGCAGTCATTTTGCTGACTGAGCCATCTTCTAGCTCCATATCTGTTTCTATTTGACTGGAACCAGGCCTGGATATTCACAGGAAGGGGCATGGACAAGGGGCCCATGCTTGACCCAAAGCACTGAGCCTCCCTTCCAGTTAGCTGTCTTTGTTTAGCTCTTTTGAACACCTCTAGGACTGTGGGAGTTTGGTTTACGTCATAGGAAGTCTGCTCTGGCATATGCCAAACTCATGTCCTTTTCTTTTACTTTCTCCCAAATCACAGAAGAGCCAGAAATTCCATCATTTTGGCATTTTATACTCTATTTCTTCATGATGCTTTTATACGGGTTGTATTCATATCTTCTGTTGGATTATATTTACTGATCAATTTTATTTTAGAATGTATAGCACACCAAAGGTCTGGAACAATGACAGGGCTTCACCTGAAACCAATTACAGTTCTGTTAGCATTCAGCCACTGAGGGAGGAGACATTCTGAAATGACACTATATGCACGGACTAAGGACGGCCGGTGAGCTCGGCAATTTACTGAAGGCAAAGCAATTACTACAGGAAGAAGAAGTAGCTGAGCGTAGTTCTAAGTCAATAAAGGGCTCTCCAGGTGGAACTGGAAGCCGTTTGTGAGGACTGCTTCAGTGCCTGGCAAGAGGACATGACGTGGGATTAGAAACATTGGTTTGTTTGCCCAAATGGAGAAGAGCTTTGGGAAAGTTAAAGAACATTCAGACAGTCAGCCCAAACCCGTCTGACAGCAACTCAGCTAGGAGTCTCCTGTTAGAGTCATTGGCCTCTGTCAGTCACACACCAGATCAAGTTCCCGCTGTGGAGAGAGTAAAGAGGCTGCGCTGAGGAGAAAATAGTGTGTTTCTCACATTTGGGAAGATCTTAGCAGCGGCCTTGCAATGCTAGAGTCATTTGCAGAGAGAATGCCAATGAGGTGGGTGAACCGGAAGTCACAGATTGGTAGTTAGGCTACAATAGCCTTCATTCCCAGTCAGTTTTAGGCCCTGAGTTGATGGATAATGTTGCTCTGATGTAAGATTACTCCGGGAGTGATAATCGGCTTTTCAGGTCTAAGTCACAATTTTTTTTTTTTTTTCGAGACAGGGTTTCTCTGTGGCTTTGGAACCTGTCCTGGAACTAGCTCTGTAGACCAGGCTGGTCTCGAACTCACAGAGATCCGCCTGCCTCTGCCTCCCGAGTGCTGGGATTAAAGGCATGCGCCACCATCACCCGGCCTAAGTCACAATTGTAATTATCAGTATAATTATGCTTTAGATTATTTGATGGTAGAGAAAAGTCTCTGTTCCTGATTGGTGCTTCCAAATTTGGTCGGATGTCATGGCTGAACTTCGCCACAGTTCAGTCACGTGACCTTGGAAAAGCCACACTTTGTTTCTGGGATTTTCATGGTCTCCAAATGAGAAGGCAGAAGGACCACTTCGATGCTAGTTCTGTAACAAGGCGAACAGGTGGCTCTTAGTTGGGGTCAGGAGGCACAAGGCCTGTGAACTAGAAAGCCAGGTACTTCCTCCTCAAAGACCCAGGGGCTACAGCGATGGCTAAGAGGTCAAGAGTGCTTAGTGTTCTCACAGAGGACCTGAGCTTGGTCCCCAGTACCCACAGCAGCTGGCTCAGAATCACCCCAAACTCCAGCTCTAGGGGATAGGACACCCTCTTCTAGATTTCAGTGAGCACCTGCGCTCACATGCATATAGCCACGCAAAGGCACACATAATTAAAAGATACTGAAAGCAAGCATAAAAAGAAATTGCCAACCCGTTCTTACTCCTCATGACTTCATGGGTTACCGTGTTTCTAGAGTTTCCCTACGGGTAATCTGGTGGAAACCCTTGACTCTGATTATTCATCTACCTGGAAGGTAGCAAGTTCCTACTCAGCTCCAGCATCCCAGCATCTAGGCTCTCTAAGAGGGTGATGTCTCCATCCCAGATGATCATTGGAAAAGAACAGTTTCAGAGTCTTGTGGAGAAGACTTGACAAAATATTGATGTCAACCTTAAGCAGAATTCAGATGTAAGCCCCAGAAAGTGTGAATACATCCGGAAAAATGGTGGCTGTCTATATTTCGTTCCTTCCAGCATATTAAAGACCTGGCATTCATCTGCTAAGAATTTTGCTGCCTAGTCTAGGAACTACAAAGGGTACCATTTTTACCTTGTGTGCAGAGGAGGCACAGTAGTCTTGACCGTCATGTATTTCAGCTAAGACTATGGAGTCAAGAGCTTGGTAGGTTCTGGGGCAAATCAGACCTATGTTTAAGCCCAAGTTCTAAAACTTCCTGGCAACTCAACAACAATAACAGTTGGGCAAAAAAATTACTTAACCTTGACACTTGGTTTTCTCGTCTGTAAAATGGGAATAATAATGACTATCTCAGAAAGAATTATGTAAGGATTAATTATTTAGTATATATGAACCCCTGTTCTAGTAACCAAAGAACACTCCCTAAAAGTAACTAATTGTCATCCTGTTTAGATATAATATAAATTCTAGTTATGAAAACTAGGGCAGTGTTCCTGAAAATGTAACGTCTCCTCATGTATATATTTTTCAGCTAAAATAGGAAGACTACAGAGCAATTTTGTGATGTTTAACGACCTTTTATCCAGGACCACTGCAGGTCCGAGATGCTCAGAGTCACACAGCTGACCTGTTTCTGAGAGGCCTGTGCCGTCATAATCCTTACCTGTCCGTTCTTCGCTGAAGGAGTGGCTGGCGTAATTGCCACTCCTGGTGGTTATGGTCACATTGTAGAGGCGGCCTGGGGTGAGGGAGCTGAAGGAACACTCGCTGACAGACTTGGCAATGATGAGGGACTGAACCACCCTGCCATCGTGGGAGAGGGTTACCACGTAGTTATCCACATCTCCAGGAGCTGGCAGCCAGGAAACACTGAGGTAATCATTACGGCCGGAATTGTTGACCGTGACTCCACTCACGCTGGAAGGGACTGTGAGTTCATACAAGGAGGGAGAACCATCAACGAAAACAGAATTACAAGTTTGAATCGACTATTTTGCTCAATAAAAAACTGTGGACTGGGAGTTCTTAGTTGGTCACACATGAAGTGGTGGAGGTATTAGGATCTCTAGTGGCTTTGGGAAGACAAACTATCTTTCACCAGAAGGCTAAAGAAAAACAAAACAAAACACCACTAGGAGGCCATTTGGATGCCTCATAACCCAAGTGTGCCACCTCTGGGACTTTATGGGGTTTCTGTGTAGGGAGTGTTTTAGGGGGTATTTTATGGGACTATAACGGGAGGGTTTTGGTAGAAAAGGGAACACAGATTATAAAAGTTCAAATAAATCGCGTTGAATCTAACTCATCAAAAAAAAAAAAACCCAAAAAACAAAAACCAAAACCCACCACCACCATCAACAACAAAAAACCAAAACCAACCAACCAACCAAGCAAACAAACAAACAAAAACCCCAAAAACCAGAAACAAAGATACTTGAGAGTAAAGGAGAAAAATTCCACGAATTTTCTGAAGAACTTAGACTCTGGGTCGCCTTTGACTTTCATGTGACCAGGTTTTTTTTTTTTTTTTTTTTTTTTTTTTTTTTTTTTCCCCCCTGGGCCTTTTAATAGGAAACGCATCTGGAGGCGCTGCTCATCCCTTTGCAAAGCGTTTTCTGCCCTCTAGTGGCCGGAAGCCTCAAAGCACATCCTGGAAGCCTGGCGGTGGGGAGACTGGGCAGAGAAACCTGTAGCCAGGACTGGGAATGCCATCTTGAGGTCGATGCCACAAACATTTACCCAGAGATTTATATTTCCCAGGTGTATAAACATGGAACAGACACAGATGCCTTAAGTTCCAAGTTCAAACTGAGAAATTAGTAAGTGGGGTGGTGAGTAAGAAGTTCCTTAGGTATTGGAGGTGAGTGTCTGGTACACAGTACTGCCTTTGGTGATGGCAGACGGAACTCTCACAGAGCACAGACTGTCCTGCTGTCTCATCATGGGATATTTAACCCTCAGTGGTCTGTTTTCTCGTAATTGTCAGGGCTGCTGCACGGCACACAAAGGACAGGATTCGGCTCGGTGAAACCTGAGAGCCCTTATGCTCTCTCTATATGGTCTGATTTTTATGAATTAAACCCAAAGCCTATCTTACCCACAACTGATGAGCTGTGCATATGCTATTAGAAAAGACAGAATCATCAGGAGTTTTTCCAAAAGTGAAACTCACTTAAGATGAAATAGATATACAAATTATTGGGTACTTTTCTAGAATTTCCTCAGCTTCGGATTAAACTGATCAAATATCTGAAACTTCAAACCTCAGTTCTCACCATTTTATCTAGGCTGGGAAGGTTTTCGTGCGCCGGCTTCAACTCTGAGGAAGCTTGTGTGAGCTAGAAGAAGACTTTCCAGAATTATTTGAATGTTGAGAAATATATGAGATATTTGAAGAAACGCTAATGATTATCATTATGGGCTTAGCCACTGAATTATTTTATAGTGTGCTATGTAAAACCTGTACTACTTTAGAGAGTCTCTGAAAGCCTTAGTCATTAGGTATCTACAATAGTGGCGCATTTTTCCTCTCTCAGGACAACAGTTGGATGTCACACATATTTATTCAAAACTTTTGTTCTCAAAATTTTATAATTATTCTTCATAGACTTTCTCATCAACTTAGTGAATGCTTCTTTTGTATAACATGAACCAAATACTGATATTTCTGGTTATGTTTAAAGTACAGAAATAGAAATGATTTATAAAATAAAGTCCCATTTATTCCAAATATTCACGGACTTCAAGTGATATCAGAGACCATACTACTTTAGTACATTATAACGGGTAGGATAGCCTTTGTGGTATGTCTATTAGTATTGGGATAGTTTTTTCTTTCGGTGGTATTGGGATTAAATTCAAGGTTTTGTGTCTGTGAAACAAATGCTTTATCCCTGAGAAACATCCCCAATCCTTTGTGGTGTTTAAAATAGAAATGAACCCGGGACCAGAGTATGACCAGCTCACCAACTGACTCCCTTTCCTCTTAAAGCGCATCTAGACCATATTTCTCAGCTTCTCCTGTAGTCAGATGACACTAACTACAGCCACGCAACAGTTCTGTCCAGCGCAATGAGGCTAGAAAAGCTACCTCTGCTTCCAGGCCTACTAATCTCTTCCAGACCATGTCCGATCTCTACCTCAAGTCTCCGCAGGAGTGGAAAGAGTTGCTGGAATCCAGAGGAAGGAAACTGTCAGGTAGTAGGAGCCTGGATCTTGATTTGTACTTGGAGAAGAATCAGTCAGTAGAGTTGTCTGGTCAGGAGCGGCCACATTGCCCAGTAGTGTGATAGGACACAGGTCCCTCTAACCTGACCGATACGGGCTGCAGCTCCCAGGAAGATGGACACACGGGCCTTCTCAGATGTTCAGCCCTCCACTCTGACCACACTACACTGAATCATGGTGCCAGTAACTCTTACAAGAGAAGGAAGAGGGTATCGGGTCTCAGGAAAGACACCGCTATCTTTCTTACATCTAGGGCCACAGCAAGAGAGCACTGGCGTGCGTCGGGGAACTTCTACGAAGACCAAGAGACATGGGCTCAGTTTCGTAGCTGCTCCTCTGAAAGTTAAGACAGCAAAGTAGGGGACACTGGTGGTTTTGGCAAGAGATTTATACATGACATCACAACTCTTAATTGCTATCTGAGCATCGGGTTTATAGATAAAGACGCCTGAACCCAACTTATAATAATCATGTAAAATTAAGAGGTCAAGTTTGTTGACCTGATTCTGAGTTTAACCATAGTTATCGAAGCTTCACTTGGGTTTGTATATTTTTCTCTAAGAAACTGGAACATAAATTTCATATATTATATGAAATAACATATTACTTTTACGGGCTTCCACTGTGTGATGTAGAAAAATTCCACTTTTTTCTTTGGTGCTGAGCTTCATTGACACAGTAGCCATACTGATACTTATTCGTCTTCTCAGCTCGCAGTTTCAACCGACAAGAACAATGAAGCCAGGGGCACCATTTAGGTGACATTCAGCTCTAAGCATTCAATGATGTTGCTTACAAAACATATATGTGACTTCTACAGGAGTACAGCAGCGGTATATTCCTATTTTCCCAGGTATTGGAAAAGCTGAGGCAGGAGGCTGGTAAGAGCCAGAAAGTTCAGAGTCAGCCTGGGCACCATTGCAAGACTCTGCATAAGCCACTGGAGAATTACATCTCATTTTAGGATGTTTAAAATGGAAGGCGGCTCCAAGTACTGATGTATCTGGAAGCTGCAGACACCTATCGGCACTTCTTACCTGTTCGGCCTTCCGCCACCACCTGCCGGGAAGAAATCCCTCCGCTCACTGTGGTCACCACGACCGAGTAGAGGCTGCCGGGTTTCAGAGCGTGGAAGCTGTATCTGCTGGTCTCACTGGAGACGCTCTCGTTTTTGATGACCACATTCTCATGGATCAGTAAGACTTGGTAGACCTCTACATCTCCCAAGGCCTTTGTCCAGTTCGTGAACAGGCTGCTGGTCATCCCTTGGTTGGTAACATGCAAGTCAGTCACGTGGGCAGGCACTAACAGGCAGTGGATAGAAGATGAAAACCCGTTAGGCTTAGTCACCCCAAGGCAAGTAGAATAAGAACGAGGAGTCAGAGTGTCACAGTGGAGACAAACTAAAGAGCTGCAGGTTTAAAACATGTTTTGCTTGTTTTTGCCATGGGTGTTTCACCCTGTTTCTTGTGGCATATGGACGCTTATTCCTCTACAGGGTTCAATCACTTTAACCAGCTGTTTATATAACAGGTTTCCATTAATCAAAGTCAGTTAAGACTAATAATGAGACTACGATGCTTATTACTGGGCTTTGACATTTATGTAACAGAAACTGTTGCTTTAGAGAACCTTCTTATTTAGTATAATTTTATCGATTCTTATTCTACAAGAACACAAAACCACGTAATCTACCAGAGCCAATGTCTGTTACAGGGTAGCAACGGGAAATTCCTTCAAGCTGGTGGTTAGGTTATGGCCTTGCAAGTTGGTTACTTTCTTGTAAGTATATTCTCCAAAGGGCTATTGCTATTGTTCATGAAAATGCTATATAATATATAGCATTATTACATATATTATATACATATGACATCAATGACTATTATAGTAAATAGTGAACGCCTATTACCTTTCAGTTAGAGCAGAAGGCATTTTAGAGGGTATATTATCTAATATACACAAGCATCTATAAAGTTGATTTCATATTTCTTTTACTAAGGAGGAAACCGAAGCTCTTAGAATAGGAACTTTTTGATCTTACACCACAGCTTGATAACTAATCAACCAGGTATCCAAGCTAGAGCTCTCTCACCCTGAGCCTGTGACCTTTTTCTAAATTATCAACTACTGTCGCTTCCAAGACATCCATTAGTTGATGTTCACAGATACTGAAATTAACATTTGCTTCTCTTTGCACACCTTTCTTAAATTATAACTACCAGAGCTTTAATAGACTCCCTTCCCAAAGCTCAATAACTTTTGTATTAAGATGCAAATATATTGACCAAAAGTGTTACAAAACACAGGCTGGTTTTAAAACCTTCTGGTTTTAAAATGTATATGGGAAGTAAAGGAACTATAATTATCAAAACAGTTAAAACAAAGAAAACAACCCCCCAACTCCCACTAATCACAAAACACAGCTTAAGGACAAATGTCAGCCAATTTTACTAGAAAGTTATAGTAATCAGGACAGTGTAAATAAAACTGGAAAAAGACAGACAGACATATAAAGGAATGGAAAAAATGGGACATCCCAGAAAATGTATACATGCATATATAGTCTCTCTCTCTCTCTCAATATATATTTAATTATATATTTAATATATATTTAGCTGTTTTGATAATTATAGTTCCTGTACTTCCCATATTTATGCATTATATACATACATGTATATATACTATATATACAAATATATGTTTATATGCACATATATATGTATGTGTGCATGTGTATCTATGTTACACATACATGTGCACAAGTATTTACTTATATGCATACATATATGCAATATACATATGAGCATACATTATGCAAATATATGCACATGTGTACATATATCTATGCATATAAAACATATGTTTATATATGTGTGTACACACATATAAAGACTATATATAGTCAATTTCTAGAAAGAACCATAAGACAATTTTGGAAGAAGGGTAGCATTTTCAACAAATATCTCTGGAATTATTAGATGTACATATGAAAAAGGAAATTTCATATTTAACATTTATATATTAACGTAATAATATTTAATAGCAATAGAGGTCAATTAAAATTTAATACAAGAATGGTTTGTAGGCCCATGGTGTAAGTCTAAGCCTATAAGTATTCCAGGGAAGATCTCTGTGGCCCTTTGTTAGGCCTAGATTTCAAGTGTGCTACCAAGAGCATTGTCTATGAATGGCCTTAACAGTCAGATGTCAAAATTAGGCATGGCTACTCACCAAAACACACTAAACTCAACAATAAGAAAATGAGCCACAAACCAGACGAGAACATTTGCAACACACGTTTCTAACTTGTATATAAGTAAGAATCAAGAAGTCTCAAAACTTTTGTTTGTTGGGCTGGTGAGGTGGCTCAGCAGGGTAAGCCACTGGCTTCCATGCCTGACCACTTGTGTCCATTCCTGGGACTCACAGAGTAGAAGGAGAGAGCACTGACTCCCACAAGCTTTCTTCTGATCCCCTCATGGGTGCTATAGTATGTACACACCCACAGACTCACCAAGAAAAACAAACAAACATACTTTAAAAATATAGATAAAAGGAGAGATCCTGACATTAACCTCTGGGTGCCACAGTCACTCAGGTGTGTAAGTGTACCTGCTTACACGTGAGCTCACACATGTGTACACCACACAATACACAGAAATCTGTTTGTTAAGAAAACAATGACAATTAGCAAAATATCTGACATAACCTTTCCCAAAGGAGAGAAAAGTCAGTGAAAAGGCACAGGGAAGGGTCCTCAAGTCAGTGGATGTGAGATTCCACTAACACCTACTGGAAAGGTTTAATTTTAAGATAAACAAAGAGACACATAGACAGACAATACCAAGTGCTGCCTGGAACGCTCATACATTGTTTACAGAAATGTAAAGTTTTATAATCTAGCTGGGCACGGTGGCAAATGTCTATAGTCCCAGCTAACTAATGGGGTGGCTGAAACAGAAGGGTCTCTTGAGCCCAGGAGTTTGAGACTGTCCTGGGCACCATAGTGAGACCCCATCTCAAAATGTAAGAAAAGAAACGTTTCAATTGCTGTAGAAGAGAGACCAACACTTCCTTGAAAAGTTAAACAAATACTATATTACACTTACTATATTGCCCAACGATATGAGTGATAGGGGTGATGAAAATATTAGGGTACAAAACAATGCCTTGGGCTTTTATTTCCAGCTATATGCTAGACTAATACCATGAAGAATTACCCCCAATAAGTGTATCCTACCTATTGGATAAAACATAAAAACAAATGGAACAATACATTGTGAAGAACGCAAGGCATTCTCAGAGGCTGGTAAGTAAGTGGTCACTGAAGTACTGAAGCAAGCTGTTGCCTTTGGCATAAGTTTCAGACATGCATCCACACTTTGCTTTTACAGCGCTGTGGACTCCTGCAGATGGGAGGTAAACTGGAGGACTCTCGGGCTTAGTAGGCTGATGGCTGAGCCCACATAGAACTATAACCTGAAAGTCTATTCCTTCTCTGTTTCCCATACCACGGCAGCCTTCTTAGCATTGGCAGAAGAAAACCATTTCCTTCGAGATTATTTTTGTAGGCTTTATGATTTTATATGTGCTGGGAAATGTCTCTGCCATGGATCTAACACCCAAGCCTTCTTGAAAATTCCTAACCTTGAGGTACTTTCTGTGTGCGTGTAGCTTGTTATGATTTCAGCCCCAATAAGGTTGACACTACCAGGTTCTAGCGCAATGCATGTGAGGACAAGCCCTCAGGCAGAAGTGCCTAATGGCCCCGGGGATGTTAAAGGGCCCTGCATGATCCACATGTGGTGTGGTTGCATCAGCCACGTATGACTCAGCTAAGCCTTTGCACGCAGGGGTGAGTCCTGTCATCTGCGTATGACGTACCCACGTCAATCCCCTGTGCACATGCACTAGGCAGCTTTTAAAAGCTGGATGCGCCATCTTTCTCTCTGCACACTGACTTCCCCAGGTCTGTACACGCCCCCTCTAATAAACTCCTAAGCGGGTTTGATGTGTGTTCCGTGTCTCTTTCTCACTTGCGCCAGGTAATTTTATTGGCACCATGAGACTTGGGAGGCTCGACTAGGTATTTTTTTCCACAACAACCATGTGTTCCATCTGCCTGAGCGTGATGTCTACACACATCACTGGCTTCAATGGATGAGTTTCCCCTATTCTGGTCAGCTTGACCATTTCTCTGAACCTGAGGAATTGACCGATGAGCTCCCGGAAATCTTCTGGTGTTCCTAGAAACGGGGGGACAGCCCCCAACCATGTCCTTCACAGCTATGGTTGAGGCCATTCTGCTTGGTACCTCTTATGGGAAGAGATTATTTTAGCAAAAGTAGGAGCTTCCATTTCATTTGCTCCTTCTATTCACCTTACCTCAGACTCACCAACACTCCCCTCCTCCTCCTTCTAGCCTTCCAACCTCCCAGCTCCAATGTATCTTTTCCTCTACCAGCCTCCCAGGTGAACTCCCAAGTCTGGGATACCTCAAAACCCTCTGATGCTAAATACCATTCCCCCATCATTATCCGATTACAAGACCCTAATAAATATATTACTTAAGCTCAGTACCCCCTCTCTCTCCAGAGCCTTAGGGGACTTAAGGCTATTATCTCTGACCTTCTAAGAAAAAACTACTTTGCCCCACCTCTTCTCCCTTTAACACCCCTATACTTGCTGTTAAAAAAACCTAATGGAACCTATCACCTGGTTCAAAACCTCTAACTTATTAACTCCTCAGTGGTCCCTCTTCATCCTGTAGTGCCTAACCCTTATCACTTCTTTCCACTCTACTCCCAGGAACCTCCCACTTCTCAGTTCTGGATCTTAAGAATGCTTTTTTCTCTATTCCTCTCAGCTCGCAATCTCAAAATATCTTTGTCTTCACCGGGCTGACAAAGCAGCTAGGACAGCAGCATTCCAGAGCCCAAACCTACCTCAGTCACTCAGGGAGTTCATACAGTGCATCCCATATTCTCACAGACACCCCCTGACACCCGGCAAATTCTGTCCTACCTACATCAGCTCTAATAGCAAAGCTTTGTTTCATTTTGTCAAGGCTTACCTCCAACCCACCCCTGAGGACTTAGAACTCTTAAAAGCTACCACTGCCTCTTGGAAAATATGTCAAAAGTCAGATCTCAAGACTAAAGATCGTAGCTTCCCTTTTCCCACCCACCAGGCCAGGGTCTCCCTTCCAGGAACTGACTGGCAGCTTGGTTTTACTCATATGCCCACAGTCAGATGAGTTAAATATCTCCTGGTTTTGGTGGACTCCATGTCTGGGTGGACTGAA